TAAAGATTATATTAATATTAATAGCTTTTCAATAAATATTAGTTAATAAACTGTTTTATTGAAGAATAAAAGAATTGTTAAAATAAATATTAATAATAAATCAATTAGATAAAATATAGTACAAAGATTTTTCATTAATTCTTCTAAACTTATAAAAACTATACAATTTATATATATATGCGGGCTCCCTTCGGCATATGATAGGCCCAAGGGCTTACTATTATGTGCCTAATGGAGCCCTTTAGTCCATGACCGTGACAAATAATATAAAAGAGCTAAATATCTTTAAATAAAAAGGAGTTTATAAAATTAAATATTTATTTAATAATAGTATTAAATTTAAAACTAGATATATAACTAAAGAATTTAAATAATCATATAAATTAGATTATTTAAATATTTTTATTAATATAATAAAACAAATACCCTAGAAATTAGTATTTGTATTAATAATAAATAAAGAGTAATATATATATAAAATAAATATAGTTTTAGCTTTTATATAAAAAAATATTAATAAAAATATATATATTAAAATCTTTGAAATATATTATAAAAATGATATAATATTAAAGCTAAAGAAAGCTCTATATAAATTAAAACAGTTTATTAGAACTTAATATACTATATCAAAAAGTATATTAAATAAATTAAATTTTACTTATATAAAATCAAATAAATATTCGAGATTAATATTAAATATATTTGTTAATAATATTATTATTATAGATTCTAGTAAGGTTCTAATTAAAGATTTTATTAAAAATCTTAAAAATAATTTAGATCTAAAAGATCTAGATTTAATAAAAGATTATTTAAATATTTAAATTAATTTAAATAAAGATTATATTAAATTATATCAAGAAGAGTATATAAATAAATATTTAAAAGATCTAAAACTAAAAGATTGTATTCTTATAGCTATATTTATGGTTACTAAAAATGATATAAAAATAAATCCAAATAAAGCTGATTTAAATAAAATAAAATGGGCTTAAAAAACAATAAGAAAATCATTATATTTAATATTAAAAACTAAATAGGATATTACTTATTTTATATTAAAATTGGTAAGATTATATAACAATTATAAAAAGAATATTTCGATATTTAAAAAAAACTAAAACATTCAAAACTATATATAAAAAAGATAATAATAAATATATTAAAGAGTTTTGTAATACAGATTATATAAAAAAATAAAAGCTTTATTTAATTTATTAATAACTATATATTTATACATAAAAATAATTTAATTAATTGAAGAATTAAATTATAATCTATTGTAGTACAAAATATAATAGAATCTAAGCTAATTGTAATAAAATTAGTTATTTAAGAAACTATATATTTAAGATATATATTATAGAAATTAAAATAATATATTCTAAATACTATAATAGGAGTAAGTATATTGATATAAAATATTATTATATAAGAGATTTTATAAATAAAGGATATTAAGATTTGATATAGATTTCTATAGAAAATCAATTAGCTAATAAATTAATTAAGTTATTAGATAAAATTGAATTATTAAGATTTATTAATATAATTCAAAATTTTAATAATTATTATTAAAATTAATAATATTAGTACTCTTTTTTTTAAAAAATAAAAAGGTTTTTAATAAAACTATAGCTTTAATTTTCTTATAAGTATATAGACTCTATTTTTCACTGAAATATACTCTTATATATTATATATAATATATATAATGAATCTATTGAGAAGTAGTAGTATAGCTTATATGATCGAGACTCTTAGAGAGTATAGTTCTATTGATAATAATGAAATAACTTTTATTATTATACTTTATATTATAACCAAAATTGAATACCATATTCTCTAATACTATCGAAAATAAATTTATTTATTCTTATACTATTAAAACCGAAATAAATTTACTTTTATATTATTTAAATTTTTATAATAATTAATTTCTAGAATTTCTTGATTAGAATCTATAATTTCTAAACCTAGAATTTATAAAATTTGAAAGATATAATTTATAGCAAATTACTCTTATATACTCTAAAAGCGATTTAATTATTTCTATATATTGTAGTTTATAAGTTAGTATATTAATGTTTAATATAAGTAGAATATAACAATAAATAGACTAGTATTAGTCTATTATAGGAAGCTAGCTTAGACTAACAACTAAAAAGGAATTTAAATATATAATATTTTTGAATCTATATATCAATATTCACTTTTCTTTTTCATATATTTTATCGTAGGTTATAGACTAGTAGTATTATATGGAAGCTAGCTCGGTTTAACAACTAAAATGAATTATATAAACAGTGTAACACATGATATTAAAGAATCTATATATCGATATTCAATTTCTTATTTTTTATTCAATAAGGGAAAAGATCTTATTTTATGCTTTTTCCTATTAATCTAATTTTTCCGCTTTTGTTAATCTTTTGCAAATCTTTTCCAAATCTGATTATTCTTTTGAAATAAAGCTTTTTTTCTTATTCTTTATTTTATAGTTTGTTTTCGGATTTATAATCATTTTCGGATTTATAATTGTTTTTATATTCTATAATTATTTTCGGAAGTTTATAAGTAATAATCATGTAATTTTATTACATAATATGCTCATATTAAGTTGAATGCTTTTAAAAGATAACGTAACGTATAGGGAACTCGAATATATGAGGAACTCGAATACTTTTAGTTTATTATTAATTTGAAATTATAATAACTTTTATTATATATACTCAATTATTTTCTATATCTATTCAAATTAAAAAAGAACTTCAAAAAACTATAACTTTATTTTAATTAAAAGAATTTAAATTAATTAGAAAGGTTATAAAATATTTTGAAATTCTTAAATCTATTTTAGTTAATAAACTAATTAAAAAAAAATATATTCCCAAGTTTATAAAATAACTCAAATTCTTTTAAATATAAAAGAAAATATTTTTATATAATAGATTTCACAATTTATTATTATTAAATTCCCTATTATATTTATATTAATAAAGAAAATAATTAACAAAATTCGTTTTTAATATATTCAAATTATATTATCTCGAAATCCTATCTCAATAGAAATTCTATTTATAAATTATAAATAAATCTATAAATTCCTAAAACAATATTTAGAATTTAAAATATACTATTTATATTAATTAAAATTTAATTAAATTAAAGAAACAATTTTAGAGAATATATAGATTTGATTTAATATATTTTATATATATTTTATTAACAAAAATATAAATTAAATAATATATATAATATAAATAAAATTGAATTTGAAATTGGAAATATTTAAAATATTTATATAATAATTATTTTTAAAATTCAAAATATAAATTCTATATAGATTTTAAAGGATATATTTTAAAACTAATAATTCTTTATTAATATAAATAAATAAATTTCAAATAGTTATAAATTAAAATAATTAAAAAAGATTTTTGAATTAGAATTCAAAAAAGTATTAAATAATTAATCTCAACTTTTAATTATAGATAATTATTTAAACTATATTATAAATAGCTTTATTACTTTTTATATAAATAATAATATTGATTTATTTATATTATCTTTTTATTACTTTTATTTATTCTAATTATTTAATATTATAATATATAGATTAATAAAATAATATTATATTTTAAAGATCAATTAATATTCTTAAATTGATATAAAACGAATTCAAAAAATTGAATAAATAAAATTCTTTCAAAATATTAAAAAAAAAATTGAATTTTTTTAATATTAAAATTGATTAGAAAAAAATTAATTTAATATCTTTTATTTTATAAAAAGTATTTGATTTATTATTATTTAATTTTTTTTAATAATTTTTTATTTTATAAATAAGAATTTTTAATTAAGATTTAAATTTGTTTATATTTAAGAATTCTTTTTTAAATAAAAGAAAACTAAAGTAAATAAATCACATTTTTAATATAATTTTAATAAATAATAATTCTTTTATATTATTAATTTATTAATATATTAAGAGAATAATTAAACTTATAGAATTTTAAAATATTAAAATAGTTTTATTTTGGAAATAGTTTTTTGATATTTAAAAGATAATTGAAATTGAAAAGAAGAAAATTCAAAATAAAAAAGTTAAATTATAAGATTAATTTGTTTTTAATATTAAGAAAGTATTGAAAATAATATATAAAATAGAGGAAAAACTAAAAAGAAAAAGTTATAAGAATAATTATATAAATATTTAATTAAAGAATTAGAAAAAGATTGAAAAAAAGAGTTAATGAATAGTTCAAATGATTTGAAATTGAAATTGAAGGATTGTATAGGTTTTAGAATAAGATTGTATATAAAATAATTGAAAAAGTATTTGAGTTCTTTATATGTCCGAGTTCCCTATATGTTATATTATATATATATATTATATTATTTTATTAAAATAATAGTTCTCTTTAATATATATTATCTCTTTTATATATATTATACTAGTTTTATTTTCTATATTTTATAATTCAATCTCAAGTTGAGTATATAATATGAAATACTCAGTATATTCTGAAAACATATAATTACTTATTAAATCTGTATAATATAAAGTTCACAAAGATAAAGAGTATTATAATATTAAGTTATATCTGAAAATAATCATATATCAGGTACTCATATTCTCGCATTCAAAAAAAAGATAACATTTTTCAAAAACAAGCTCTTGTATATAGATTAAGTAGATTAAAGAATATATTCTAGATTATCTTATATTACTTATAGTTTTAGTAAAGATCATCGAGATGAGTACTCTCATATATAATACTCTCTTGTTTTGGGAACCTTTCATGATGAGTAGTAATCGAACAACAAAGGACATTCGACATTTCCGGATATCGCATACCTAAATTCTTTGAGAGCAGGCGTATCGTTCATTCAATGTTTGAATAGCCTTTATCCTCAAAGAACGCAGAAATCATCACACTTGAATATCCATACTTGACATGCAACAACTCGTATACTGAATAACCATCAACATCATGGCTCCACCATTGGTAATCGAGAGCAAGGCCGTTAATTATTTACGCGCCATCCCCACCTTCAACCTTCGAAAGAACCCCCATAGACCAGAAATTGCCTTGCAACTTCAGGATATTCAAATTGATTTCGTCCTGCGTAACTATGATAAAACTATTCATTTTGGAATCACAGATACGCAGCGTCGAATGGAACCTCAGTTTGACCTCAAGCTAAGTGTCATAACAAATGAGACAGGAGATAGGATTTCTCCCCCATTGTCTCCAGCTAGCGAAGACGCAGCAACTTCACCCAGCGAGATCGCCAGTAAAAGCTACAATGCTAAACGCCAAACCGAAGTAAAAGCCTATCTTCGGTTTATTAAGACAGGCCATGAAACCATCAAACAGCTTGAAGCTTTTCATCAATACCGCGATGAAAGAGGTAAACTCATACTAGCCCAATTTTACAGGCTTTGTGACGCTGGCACTGTCAAGCAAATTCGTGCAGTTTACAACGCCCGTCAAAAACGGCCACCCGAAGCATTCTTGTGGAAACTCTATTACGAGGTTATTGATGCTCTGGCTTTCCTTCACAATGATCATCCGAAGTATGAGAACGATCCTTTACACAAAGGGCGTAGGTCAATTATCATGCCATACTTAGACGCCGGAAATATATATCTCTCCTGGCCCGAGGGCGGGTCGCCGAGCTACGTATATCCAGACGTAAAGCTGGGAGACTTCGATGCAGCAAATTTTGTTGAATTCGGAGATGGATTTTCAGAGGACATCGTCGACAAAGCCGACATCGATTACAAGCACAATCCCCCCGAATTAAATTGGTGGAGTGCCAAAAGCGATATTTGGCGTGCCGGCTCAATCATATACTCGCTAACTTCGCGGAACAGAACAACCACTAAGCTAGCGGTTCCTAGAGACCAAAACTTTGCAGATCTTACAGCGGAACAGCAGACATTGATCACAATGGATCCCAGAAGGGTTCTGCCCATCGACTGCCTGTACAGTGGAGAATTTGAAGCTATGCTTCAAAGATCCTTAGTGCTTGATCATAAGAAAAGACCTTCCGCTAGAGAATTGTTACAAGAACTTCAAGGTCCGGCAACAGAAAGAAAGCGCAATTTGGACTTGTTTAGGGCATTGCCTGAATGGATTGGAGAGGAAATCATCCCGAGAAAGAAGAATGATTTTGCAAAAGAACATAGCTTCTCCCAGAAAAGGCTCAAGAATTTACTTCAACCTGGTGTGTTGGAAGCAGAGAGATTAGCAAACCGGAAAAAAATAATAGCCAAGAAAAAAGAGGCAGCTGAAAGGAGAAAACGAGAGGTGGCATTAGATTTGCTGGGTGATGAAAATCCAACAGCAGTGGAGCTATTTTACGAGGAATGGCTACCCAGGGAGAAAGAGAGAGGGAATTTCCTCGGGAGGGGGGAGGATGAATATGATGCTCTCGAATTCGCAGATGAAGTTGCCAAATATATAATGGTCAGGAGCAGAGGAATAGACGCCGGAACTTGGGTTGATCCAGGTCCGGGTTGGCAAGAAGTAGAGAAACTCGGAAAAGAAGCCGAGGCTGCCGCGGCTGCTCCACCACCATAAATGTTCTCTACTTCGAGTAGTCTCTGTATTGTTAAACATGTTTAAACTGGTTGTGGCACTGGTATCCAATCAAAAAGCACCGATGCAAAATTCATCATTCCAGGGTTTTCTTGACAGAACCATTTTGCCTAATCTAGGCGAACTGACTTTGTAATCTTATATGCTTAGCCCAAGTTTTGGATCGAATTTTGATTGAGATGTATATGCCTACAACAACGAGCAACGAAGTAGTTTAGATACAGCCATTTAGATTTATAACCTTGAATTTCCAATGCCCTTAGCCTCTGATAGTATTACATTCGATATTAGGGGACCATTCTTTATTTCGCTCAAAATCTGCATCTGTTCTACTCGCATGGGTGTTACTCATAAACAGAGCTTGGGTAAAGGGCTAACCGAGACGCAAAATACCGTAGCAAATGGGAAGCTCAAAAAGATTGACATCAGCCATTATCCACCAGATCTATGACCAGCTGTCAAGTCTGAGGACGACGAAGCTCTATGGGTATACAGGAGCACAGAAAATTTCAAATCTTCGTCCACTTCTACCTGACCCCAGGGGTATATGTAAAAGTGTAAAGTCCGTCTGTATCCCTAGATACTTACATAATACCCCCAGTTAATGTTCTCTCAATCCGAAATAATAGCGAATTGGAAAACTGTGACAGATGTCTGATCTTTACATAGAAGCCGATCAGTCATCAAAACATGACTGATAGAATTGTAAATCAATCGAAGACTTCTAATGCAAAGGTGAATAAGTGCTAGATGTTCTTCTACGTTGCTGATTCTTCTTTGGCCCCCTCATTGTGGTTAGCTAAGTTTGATTCCTTTGTTCTACCCAGTGAAAAGTACTTTTAAATGCAAATAGGCGTCTTTTAGTCAATCGCACTATACTCTTTTCGCATAAGAAATGTGTGTATCGAGTTTTAGATATTGATAATGCCGACAATAATGTGAATGTATTGTTACTAAATAGTTTGAGTGCATTCAAGATTGGGAACTTGGAATAATTTTGCATGGCATAATTAGAGACAAAAAAGACAATATATTGTGACTGATTCAAGAAGTGCTGTCTACAGACTATGTGCAGAATCAGATATATAAGAGTGATGGACCGAGTAGCAGCAAGTCTAGGATCCGCTACCTGGATCATTGATTTGCAATATGGAAGCACTCTGGCTGGCCTTAGACACAGGCTTATGATGCACCACTTTCGACAACTTTGGAAAGTTGTTCCCAATTGCCATACACATCTCTCTCCACCTGTCAATTCTTTTTCTCTCTCTCCCTCTCGCAACCACGCTGACACTATCATCCAAACCAATTGGATTTGCTTTCCATTCGTCTTCATCAATCTGATATTTCATCGAGTCATCGTTGCTTTCCATCCAATCTAAAATCCACTCCCTATCTACATCACCAACCATTGCCTCTTCCATCGAAATCCTGTACCCATCATCTGGACAATTTGCAAACCCGCTGGACTGATAAATATCACTAAGCACCACATCCAATACTCTCACTCGTCTCCTCGCTTTTTCATATTCATTCTCCGCCTCGATGACTCCCTCAACCACCCCCTGATGTTCTTGCAACAGAGTCAAATCGAAGAAGCTTCTCGCAGGCTCCATTGTTCCATTCTTGACCGCACGTGCATATTCTGCATATTCCTCTTCATAATAATGTTTCCAATTATCAAGTCGATGATGCATTGTTTCTAGGCGATATCCCATGTCCTTCATATGATTCACAGCTTCTTGTTTTTCCATTTCGACTCTCCCTCGAGCTTCTTCGCTGCAAGTGAGAATTTGAGGTACGAGTTGTGTGGTTGTCATGCGATATAACCGATTTGGTCGGGAACTTTTTCCTTTTATATCCAGAAGATTTCGATCCCTGAAAACGTCCCTGAACATGTTAAATAAGATAAGTCTTTGCTCCCTTATTTTTTCATGTTTGCGTTCCGCAGCTCCCTGTAACTCTAGCTTTTGTTCTTGAATACGCGAGGAAACATTGGAAAGATATTTCAATTCTTCCGATTTTGCATCTAGATCACTCGGAACTGTGGCTCCTGACGATGAAATGAGTTGATTGAATTCTTTCACAGTCATCTCAATACACTCGTATTCATCATCCAATCGACCAATGATCCTTGTATGATCGTTGAACTGTCCCTCGAGGTAGAATATTTCGTTTAAGTTTCTCACAACATCACTTGTCAAAGCTAGAGCAGAATTTGGGACACCATTTCGTCCCATATAGGTGAATATCTCGGGGTATCTTGCAGTCAAAGGCGCTCGCCCTGGTGGTTTTCCCTGGTCAATGATTGATGCCGGCGGTTTATAGGAGCATGTGCGACATTTCCTGAGATTTTGTTGATGTGGAGATGAAAGCGATGTGGCATCAGTCAACACTACGCTGGAAGGCGATAGAGGTTCTCTTCGAAGAGGACTATTCGCATTAGCTCTTTTTCTACTTGCTCTTATTCTTCTCAAAAATTCGCTTCCGAATGTAGAAGTTGAAGAGATCTCTTCTCTGCTCGAGTCCTGATGTGCCGGAGTTGACGTTGTTACTATCTGAGTTGGCTCAGGGACAAAATCCGCGTTAATCGTGGGCAAAGGCTTGGCTGTGGAATCAGATATCTGCTTTGATCGAGCACCTTTAATGAACACCGAGCTAAGCAATCTCTTGAGAGACTTGCCATCCGTCCATTGATCTATCAGTCCTTTCATAGAGAATAATTGAATGACTGGAAGTACTCCTCGTTAATAGAGAACATAAGAATGTCATATCTTGTGCGAGGTGAATTGATACAATTGCTGAAACAGTAGGCCAAAGTCAAAGATACATCGTGAGATAAGTATTCAAGATCCATTCGAGAGTTTTGAGGACAAAGAAACATATTTTTGGACATTCTAAGATAGCTGGTACGAAAACACGTTTTTCGTATGGATACCCACCTGTTCTGAAACAAAGGAATGTTCATTCGAAACCATAAAACAACTCCGAGGAGAACGCTTGCAATGTGAGATCTGTCAATTTTTAATGAGAGAAAATCTTGCAAAATCGTTTTTGAACAATTACCTTAACGCTTCCATTCCTTGCGAATTCAGTCCACGTACCTGGAAAAAGTTGTCATTTTGATATTTCCATATGTGACTGTCACTGTTACACACGCATGCGGACATCATGTTACCCCTCTGTGCCCGCGAAATCATCGATGAAATATTATCATTGTCCATACTCTCACAATTAACTGATCTAAAATCTAAGCGAACCTCATTCATTTGTTTCTGCTGCTTCCATGAGATTTTCGATAAGTGCTAATAGATCGTTTATTCAATACCGTTCTAGAGGCATGGCATGAACTGAATCGAAACCGGGTACTGCATAGTTCTATTTACGAATATTTTATAAGACCACCGACGAACTCAAGGTTCAAGTAGATGGGAATAATTTTATTGGAAAAGTAGTACGCTCTTTCACCCACTTGAATGAATACCAGAAAAGCGAAAGCGATCATCCCTCCCTGCTTAGTTCCTAGGCCAACTATAACGGACTCACTTCTTTGGGTTTTCTTTAGATACAGAGCCAAAATTCAATAGATCCAGACAGCAATGAAAGAAGAACCTGAGTAGAAGTTGAAAGAGCGAACCCCTATCACCGGTGTTCCAGCAAACAGGAACCCCGTTTACCGTTTCCGTCACGTCTTCTAATCTCCCATGGATTGACCACAAAGATTCAACATTCTACAATGGAAATCCCGCCAAAAATGGACCTTTGTTTCATGAGAGATGTTGGGAAAGAGGAAGACTGGGTTTATAATTGGAAAGTAGTCGAGTTGGATCTACTTGACAGTGGCGGCCACAGGAACTCATGCTCGTGATGTACAAATCTTAGTGCAAGTAGTCAAGTTGTTGTTGTTGAGAATTTGTTATTTGGGAATACACTGGCAGTTTGAAGAAGGTGGGTTTTGGGTGTGTGTAAATGATTGTTGCGCACATGCGGAATTCTCACTACTTATTCGTGGTAGTAGAACTATTGGCGATTTTTGTTCCACTCTGCAGCAATGAATTCTGCGATATGCCCAATTCAATATAGGCCAAAGGTACGCCGTTCGTGGCATGAAGGCTGTCGCATACATTGTAGGCCATATTGATTGTCATCTGCAGTATTCAAGGTCCATGATTGATGGGGAGAAAAATCCAATCTGCCATGATTGGGCAGCGAAGTACAGCTTAGCCGGCTAATTTCCAAGTTTTCTGCTCAGCTGTCGAAATCAATTATCTATATGCTGATGATTAACTGCTATCTTCCTCGGCCCACTTCACAACGAAACCAAAAACAGTCCTTCTCAGTTCTTCGTCTCCTCTGTCCTTTTCAAACATTACTTTCTCCATCTTCTCCTCTAAGACCTTCTCAACAGTCATGCCTCCCTCTCGTACCAAGTCAAAGAATGCCATATCTTTTTCCAATAACCAAGGTCGATATGGGGTAAAGAACACCAAGGCCATAGAATCCTTACTCTTTCTCAGAGTCTTCTTAATAGAATCCAACAGCTTCGCGTGCTCGGAATGATTGAAAAGAAGATCTGCGAGTATCAACACGTCGAATCCAGCCTCCTTTTCTTCTAAAGGTAGAAGTGAGAGTAACGGAGATGGATCAGCGCCCCAGCAATAACCTTCAGCAACCAGGTTTTCCTTGCCGTTTACTCTCAATTCAGGGAATTGCTCATAGAATACCGAAATGTTCTTTCTGAGATTATCGATGAGGTCCGAATCTGGATAATCCGTAACCACAACATTTTTGGCACGTAGAGAGGCACAAGTAAGACTTGGAAGACCTGCACCTGCACCAAGTTCTAATACTGATTTGGAAGTAATCAGAGAAGGACTCTTTTCCAAATAGTTGGATATTATGCGACCCGCATTCCACAGATGATGACCCCAAAGTGGATTGTGACCGACCAGATGCAGAGTAAGTGTCTGACCAGAAAGTAGCGTATGGGTTTCTGTGGTTGGCTTCGGGGATGGAGGGTAATAATCTTCCGGCTCGGCAAATAGATCGGGACCATCTTCGAAATCCGAATCAGCCATGATAGATTATACAACAGAGCAAGTGATCACGTGGTTATTATGATGCTTGTGCGAAATCTTTTTAGACGAAACGAGGTCAATGTGTTAGTTACGACATGGGACAGTTGAGAGAATGGCGAAAAATAAGAAGTGCTTGATATGAAAGATTTGTCAGAGGGTCTGGTGAAATCCCTACAGTTTGACAATATCAGATTGAATAAAGTCATTCCAAGTCAACTTCTAAACCTGTTTCTGAGTGAAACATGATGCTTGAATGAATGAATGAATGAATGAATGAATGAATGAATGGATGGGATGGAGATGGAGATGGAGATGGAGATGGAGATAGAGTTAAGAAGACTCGCTCCACAACCCCAATGTGTACTTAGTCGAATTTGCTTACCTTGTTATGAAAGCTTGCTTTTGGGAAGAGGAGAGAACTGTAACTTTGAGTTAAAGTTGTTTCGCCGTCTCTTCGTCTCGTCGTCTCGTTGTTTCTGAATGTTTTCTTTTTCTTTTTCTTTTTCTTTTTCTTTTTCTCTTAATGTTTTGGAATTTATGATACCCACCCGGAGAGTAGGCGTTGCAAAATATATTTTCATATTACCCCACCATCATTATGCAGATTTGACTAGGGGATTTATGCCAATTTGTGACATTTATTCAAAGCCAGCCACTCAGATACACAGCCACTTGTTGTAGCAACCAATAGATGTACTTTTTGATAAGATAAGCGAACCCAGGTCTCGGCCGCATCTTTTCATATTGATAGATTGATAGATTGATAGATTGATAGATTGAGTGATGGAAGAGGTTGTGGGAGGATGTGGCTTGCATGAAGAATGAAAATGGTCCCTTGAAGGTTTGAATTAGATCTGACATTTATGCGGGCACGGGTGAAGGCCGAGATGGCTTGCTCTTAGTGTTTTATTCAGTTGAGCAATTCTGGTAGTTGATCTACATGACCTTGATGGATAGAATTTCTCAAGTACAGAATACTTCGTAAGATCTTAAGTAGACACCTACGGATTGAGATGAAAGTAATAAAAATGATGAGTTAAAAAACAGAATTTTTGACAGCAGATATCTAGGAAAAATAGACATACATCAATGAAACAAATGACGCTCCGCTGGTCCTCCGGGGGCCACCGCCGTGGAGGCAGACTATTAGACTATTTGAACATTTATCACACAGAATGCTAGATACCTACTTGTTATATGGAAACATCTTCGAGCGAAGCGAGCTATGGGGGTTTGGGGGCTTGCCCCCAGATATAAGGGAAAGGGGTTATCAATTGAGTGGACATTCTCATGGTAAGTGGAAGATAGATAGACAGATAGACAGTCAACGTTAGACATCATCATGATATCTCAACTCTGTTCCGAGTACTAGCGCAGCCTTCCAAGTTTTCAACTCGATGCCATTGTTTCGTCTTATATGAACTAGGTAGTGAAGATCGATTCCAAAGTAGATATTGATACGGGGTACTTCCTACAAGAGTCCTACTGGGAGTAATCAATAAGAGAAAGCTGACCATTGGATATACTAGATGTAGATGATGATGTAGCGGTAGTGTAGATGGTAGAACTCTCAAATTCAATACTCGAGTGTTGTGCTCAAAACGAAAGGATTCAACGCACGGCCATTAGATGCCACCAATCAAAACTTGCTCATTGATTTGCAAGGCTCTTCCAAACTTCACTCTAGCAAATAAAAAGTAGTAGAGAGTGGTGTCGAGCACATCTTTCAATTCAATATTGACTCTCACACTCATATACTTACATAGTCACCCCACTACGCACTACGCATGCACTACATACCGAGTACACTACTATTATTACTACTACTACTTTTACTACCACTATTATTACTACTATTACTATTATTACTACTACTACTACTACTACTACTACTACTACTACTACTACTACTCTATCCTACATACTCACTCCCCAGTCAACGCGACATCTACTACCTACCATATTGAGATCTTACGATATCATGAGTAACTCAAGCACCTTCCATTCAATATTCTCTGGGAAGCCTTATGATTCAAACCGTCCAACTTTATCATCTTCCGGTCCTTACGAATAGAACAAACAAATTCGAGAAGAATCAATCAATTAACAATTCCTCAATAAAAACTGGTCAAAAGAACAAACAAGGGCTTCATTGTTATAGTTACTAATATCTAACATCTTACCTTGACCTGATCTGACCTGATCTGACCTGATCTGATCTGACCCCTACCTTACCTTACCTATTCTACCATCAGCTCGGATCGCTTCAAACACTTCTCCGCCCTACTTTGGACCAGATATATTCAATTCACCCTATTATCCTATTATACCCGAAGTAAAATAAATCAAGCTCAATTCAGCTTTTCTTCACTGGCTCGATATTACCTACTAGTACCTCGACTTTTTCTCATGATATCGATTCATCACAATTCACTCCATCTTGAAACCTCCCCCTCCCCCCTCCCCGCGAACCCATACTTTGGGGACTCAAGATACTTCGGAAACACGCAGGAACCATTTCCGTGTCAGTCGCACAAGTCAGACGCTGATCCTCTTTCCGATTTCCCCTCTGTGCGGTCGTTGCGCATGCCGATAGTGATTCCCGGAACACAATCAACATCGAGATAAGGTTGTCTGAAAGAATTTACCTGCACTTCAATTCAAGTCTATCCATTCGGGTCAGCCCACTTATTAGTTTTGGATCGACCACAAGAGTTGTTCAATTGTGAAAAGATGCCGTTGATCAATGGATTGAAAATGGCCTGGTATGTTGAGACCCATTCATCCTTGCTGTGTTCATCAATTTATGCACATGAAGTGGTTCACAAACCAAAGATATATATACGCACCACACACACTCTCACACCTATATACACTTTACATATCTACCAATTGTTTCCGATATGCTAACATAAACCCACCACAGTGAGCCATGTATCCGAGGTCATCGATCAACAAAATGTACACACGCGAATGAGAGACTGATGGTGCCGGTGAGGAAGCCCGGAAGACCACTCAGTGCATGCCCTCACTCGAAAGATCAACCATGTAACTGTGGGAGTGTTACTGCTGCTATTCCAAGGAAGCAAGCATGCCACTGTGGTACCGACACACCTGTCTCGACTCCTCCGGCTCCTATGCAACGAGTCAACTCCATATCCGACCCTACTTCCCCGACGCAACTCACATTTAAAATACAAAAGACAGCATCGAAGCCACAGTCCAGCAGGAAACAATCATTTGATCCTGTAAATTTGGAACGCATGGATTTAAACCAAGTCAATATAGTTCCCTTCGATCAACATACCCAGAGAATGCAAATCATTCCCCCAAATGCATATCATATTTCGACTGCTCCGCAACCCTATGGGTATGGCCCACCACAATATTCCATCATGCAACAACAATATGGCACCGTTCCTGTTCAACTGCCTCCGCCTATGCATGGATTAGGAGGACCGATAACAGATATAAGAATAAGTGGATTTACGAATGGGCTCAGCAGCTTAGATCAAGTTGTGGAAGATCCTCTCGAGACACCGACTGAAGTGAAGAATGGTCAAATTACTCCTAAAATGAACGGTGGTTCTTGTTGTGCGCCATCTACTCCAGAAACCCCACCTCACATCGATAATGTCGCTACGAGTAGTGCTTCATGCTGTGCGCCTAAACAAAATACCCACAGCCACACTTCTTCGAATGCCAGTACAATGTCAGAACCTCCGCAAGCTACACCTAAACCTAAAAGTTGTTGTTCTTCAAAGAAGAAGCCTTCATCGACTCAAAACTCCCAAACGAATACTCCCATGATGAACCCACACATACCACAAAATGGATTTCCGATGAATAATGCCATATATTCACAATACCCACCTACCGTATTCACATACCCTGCTACATATGGTTCTTATCAAAACCCACTACAGCCATCCGCATGGCGCCAAGGTGTCCACGATATGAGTTACGGACATGTTCAAGGGCAACCATCTGTTCCTAATGCGCCTTTGTCATTCGATCCGACTCAAATGGCCCAAAACCCCGAGACCGTTCATACATGTGGTTGTGGCGACGGCTGCCAATGTGTTGGTTGCGCAGCTCATCCATATAACGATGCGACAAGACAATACGTCCTGTCAGCTTGGGAATCGATGCGGGTCGAACCCGACCTTTACAGCAATGGTCACGCACATGGGCGTATCAACTCGAATGGGAACATTGCACCTAATTCCATCCAGACACAAGATATTATCAAGGAGAACCCCACTTCTCCGCCTCCTGCTACTCCGTCTAGTACTACTTCCGGAGCTGCAGAAGAACAAAGCCTTTCAGCGTCGGATTTTTTCTTCGTAAATTATCCCTTTAGCGCAGAAGACGGCTGTGCAGGAGAAACTCAAAGCTGTCCCTGCGGTGATGATTGCCAATGTTTAGGCTGTACTATTCATCGCGTTCCAGATATTCCTTGCCCTGGCGAGAAGGAGACTTGTCCCTGTGGCGATGACTGCGCTTGTATTGGCTGTACTATACACAACATGTGATACTTCATTATTGCATATATCTAAGTGGGGGTTTTACACATAATTGAGGAGGAAAAAGTATCTTTGACAATATATGGGATTTGATGATTTTGAGTGTTTTGTTTTGAAGGAAAAGTTCGATACCCTCTGCATTTTATTTAATTAATTTTAAGCCTCGAGGGCGGTCGATTGACTGAGATGGATATTAGTGATACGTCTCCCCCCCTGGCTCGAAGCGAGCTATCATGAAAAAAAAAAAAGAGAACAATCATGCATTCAATGACACAAGGATTAGTTTCTCATTCAATAGCTACATGTAATGCAATTATGTCTCTCTAGCCTTTGGTACAATATGTATCTCATGCTAATCGAGGCCGATTTGACACAGTCGTTATCAGCTTAGCTAACCCCTTGGCTCATTTGTAGACCCAAAGAGTTCACCATATACTAGTGCAATGTGTTACGACAGCATCTCCATATCAAATGTGGAGCTTTCAAATTATTTGCAAGTGATCCTACGCCGCAACTGCACATATTGAACAAGGGTGATTCTATTTGACCGGATCACAAGGTAATTTCTTCAATTTCTTCATTTGCCTGTATGCACGTGTGACCTTCATGCTTCACTTGTTTCTTATGTATATGTCAGATTCATCTATTTACTTCTGGTCTATATAATCCCCACCTTTCGACATAATGGCTCGTTCCAGTCAAATATGTGATTATTGCTCTCAATTTTATGCTTTGCGTATCTTCAGTTCTTGTCATATCCGTAAACCTACCTCGTTCCGCTTCGTCTCGATCCTGCAATATGATATCCTCATCTTGTACAGGAGCCATCAGATTTTCCCCTCTCACGCCGTCAAGTGATAATCTCGATGAGGCTCAACTTGTTCAATACAATTATCTGGCAAATACTACAAAGGCTGTATATAAAAATACTATCGTCACAGAAGATGCAGATGGATCACTGCAAGGACCGTTCAATATGCTGCTGTTAGTACTGTCCTAGAAATGCTTTGATTAGATACCCAAATTAATATCGAAATCAGTTACACGCCAACGGTTGCACAGCCTTGGGTGAATTTGCAATTAGCCGTGGCTGGTCTGCTAGTCCCCAGCGAAGCTGAATGTGCTATTCTCGGCGTTTTATCAGTCACCAAAGCGACATATGGAATTTATGCGCACAAGATCTTGGCTGAGAAAGCAGGCTTAACAGCCTCGCAAGTTGCAGGCATGCTAGCGGGAGACTGTCCATCGAGCGTGACACCTCGTCAAAAGGCTGTCTACGAAATCGCCGTGAAACTAGCTCAGACTAGAGGAACGTTAGATATGCCGTCGTTCAAGGCTTCTGAGGCTGTGCTGGGACAGGCGGGGATTCTTGGGGCCATTCAGCAGTCTGCTGCGTTTATGTATGCTTCGATAGAATAACAATCTTTTAAAGGCCTTGAAGACATAAAACTACTTTCAACGTATGACCGGAAGTGTTTCCTAGGCATGGTGCTACATTAACGCTGTTGGTGAAAGCGATCAGCTTGTTAACCTTTGAGCCATTGTATGCCACTGTAAAACTTGAAACATAACGCTCAAGTGGCCCATAGTTCTTTTTGCTACATGTAAAATAGTCACCTTTTGTTCGAGAAAAGCCATTGTCACACGTAGTTACATCGTGTTTCCAAGGAACTTGCAATCAAAGGTGCATCAGTCCAGTGACTCGGCATGTTGTGTAATACAACAAGACAAACACGCTCTATACCCAAGTTACTTTACGCAGCATGGTAACCCCACTGTTGGTGTCAAGACATCCGGAATGTCTGTGCCTATGCCTGCCCGGACACACGCAGACTTGGAGGAAGAGAGCAGGGAGCGGGCGCTGAGTAGACCTCCGTTCCAACGGGCAACTCTACAGAAAATTTTTCAAACAGGAGCTGCCTGGTGCACTAACAATAGTGGGGCTCAAATGGCATGTCTTTCTTGAAGAATAAAACAATAGAAGGAAAGATGAAGGTGAAAGGTTAAAAACGATATACTAGAAAGTTACTCAACATGTTTGTGATTTGTTCGACGCTCAAACTTAGTAAAGCCGTGCAAGCCCCGGGGGATTCCTGCACTGACTGGAGTATCGTAGAAATACGAATCCTAGACGGGCGATAAATTATTCTTATCCCAGTTGAATTGATGCAATATGCCATCGATATTTTAATCTAGCACAATGCCCAAAGAATCTCTACAAGAATCTGTACACTGTGTAGGATGAGCTTCTGCTCAATCTTTAACAGTTCGTGCAAATTTATGATTTAAATCGGGAGAAAGGCATTCGATTTCGATCTGTTGAAGATCCCGTGTGATTGAGCAAAGTAAAGTGACTTTGATGTCACAAGAGTGATCTTGATCTTAAGACAGAAGATACGGAATGCTGACTCTCACCATGGAAATATGTATCATTCGTTTAAACACTTCAATCGCTCAATCTATCTTGAATGCAATGCAGTGTTAAATGAACTTCTGTTTTTTGGATCCTTTTTGGGGCTTTTGATACCTATAGACGACCTCCTTGGAAAGCTAGCATGTGCGATTATAACTTGGTCAGGCAATTTTGTTTCCCCCCCCCCCCCACAAAAAAAATGTATAAGCATCTATACGATTGAGGCTATTCGAGGGCATTTGTGTGTGCCGAGAGGACCGGGGTGGTGTAGTGAGACCACATATGTGATGGGATGGTGTCTGTATGAATTTATTCGTGAGTTGCTGTAAGCATAAGGCATTGAATGTAAGTTCGAAACGGGATCGAGATTCATTGCTTACCTCTGGCACCTGCTGAATGTTGGATTGCATTTCTATTTTCAATCGAGATACTGTAAAACACTGAAAGATTGTATTTAGTTTGTTAGTCTGAACCAGTTACCCCAACATCGCGATTGCAGAAAAGGCAATGCGCTTCAACTTCTCCATCTCGGAAAGATACTTAGCTTGAGGCTCTGTTTAACTAAATCTGGCCTTGCATTATTTAACGAAATGTAAGACAGTTCGAGGGATTGCACGCGTGGCTTTCTGTCTTGTGTTCATTGAATTGAATTTATATGATACTTTCACTCATGCAACCTACAAATACCATATGAATACAAATCTGCAGATGAGAGTAGTGGTTAGTTCATCTCATGCTTATCTTCATTGGTTTGTGCATGTCTTCGAGGCTCGTAGTAAGTGCTACAGACATCGATACTTCAGGTTTAATATGTAGCTCTCTATACTAAGTAGGTGTATATTCAATATTAGCTAAAATCCAAACCTCTATTTTATTGGATTCGATTTTTTTTTAAATACTATCTCTTCTACGTCAATGATATGTTGGAAGATATATGTTAACGCCGAGATGAGCTGTGGCGCTTATTTGGGATAACCCGCGGCCACTACAACAAACAGGCAACTCTGCTATGATCATTCTATTCCCGTAATTCTTCATTCCGCTGTTTCAGAACTTATCGCGCCTTTCAATTGATCTAGATCTTCACTAAATGGCCCCCAAAGTCGGTTCGATTTTCGTTGGTAAGCGCCCGTTGCTTGTTCAACCTGGCCCCCAACACGCAAATTTTAGATAGGTTGAAAGTTTCCACAAAGCCACGTTTGTTCCGTATTTTTGTTACCGGATTTGTGGTACGGTAAAGAAGCATTTTTTTTTTTGGCCTTCATGAATGACCTCCCGATAAAGAAAATTTGGGAAACCCTCGCATATTCGACCTTGTTTGTGTTACAATGTTGGATTTTCAACAACATGTCGGTTAGATAAAAGGCAGCGAGAACTTTTATTTAAGCATTCTGTACACTCTTTCCATTATTACGGGATGATAATCAATTCCTTGATGAATTTATGCACCGAACTACAACTTATTTGCTGTTTATACACATCCCGATTGATGCAACATGGAGGCCACGATTATACAGACTTCAAAAGTTGTTCTTCTTGAACTTGGGGAACGTGCCATAGAACCTGTCTTAACAGAAGACGGCAAACTGATTAAAATATGCGCACCTTTCGCATTTAAGCTCGTCCACAGCGCTGAAAAGGTTACGGACCCTGTGACGAATAAAGTCACTATGTGCACTGAGTCCGACGATTACATATGGTTCTATGAATGCTTGAAAGAAATGTCTGATCAAAAGGGAGGGAAGAAGGCGCCTGCAATTAGATATCAAGATCCCGACTACATTAGTTACTACGCCGATATGGCTCATCGCCCCACTAGTGTACGATCCAACGAGATTATAACCAAAGAAACCCTGGGGGTGCTGTACAGTACCGACAGTAAGACATCGGCAAAATTGAAACTTTTCGAAGCTTGCACAAAAATTCGGATAAAAAGAAAAAAAGACATAGGATATGACAGTTGGATATCCGGTTTTGCGACACAGGCCCTCAGAGAAGACATATTTAGGCTTGCTCACGAGATCAGAGGCTTAAATGTGGACTTCAAGCTTCCATCTTCGACTGATGTGATAGTGGATCCTACAAAAGGATGGCTATATGACTCCAAGAGAAAAGATCATTTGCTGTGTTGCCCGGCGAGTGGTAGACCTGTGCTGACTGAGGACGACGAATTCATTTGGGCAAATGATCTCAATAAGAGAAAGCCAAAGCCAACCAGAACGGTTTCTGAACCTGTAAATGGGTCGACAAGTGCACCGAAAGTGCTACAGAGAAGTCTGAAGAGTAAAGATTCCGACGGTAGACAGACCGAAGGAAAGCGTCGTGAGATCAAGCCTCCCGGCCAGGATAGTTCTAGAGATAAGCTTTCTAGTCAGCGTACTTCTGGGGAAGGAACTTCTAGCCAGGGACATTCCAAGCCGAGACCTCTCAGACAGAGTGGTTCCGGGGACAAGCTTCCTAGCCAAAGTAGCTCCAAAACTATACCCCACAAGCGGAATGATTCTAGCTACAAAAGTTCCAGGGTCGTACCTTCTAAGCAGAGCGACCCTAGAGACAAACTTCACAAGCAAAGTGATGCTAGGAGGCCTTTAGAAAAGAAAGCTCCGAATAGGAAAACAACTAATGAACCTGGATCCACCACTAAAAGACCCGTTGCAGGGAGGTCGCAAACTTTTACATGATGTCAGAAGCTCTTCTAGTATCTGTAGATTTGGTGTGTATCTAAGTGGAATGAGTATTTGATACATGAAATATAAGCAAAGAAATCGATCTTATTAATAATTCAATGTAATACATTTTATTGCCAATGTACCACCTGCAGTACTGACAACAACACACAAGACCTGTAAATTATAGAAGATTTATGAGGATGTGCAGTCACGTTGGAAAACTTCAACAGACATCCCATTTTTAACGATTTTTCTTTGTCCCAATATCCCCAGACTCAGTGTGGAACCTGCTAGATACGGATTATCAAGAAATAAGGTGAAAGCTTTCAGACGAGTGTGCTAGGTTGCCCAATATTTGGGTTCTTTGTATGGGAAGTTTTGGAAAAGTTAAGATGTGATACCCTATCGATATAAGCAGAATTTTAAAACTATCACTACCCATCGTATTGTCTATAACATAAGAAAGTGACCAGATATAAAAAAATAACCGAGTAAAATGATACATAAATCAAACACATTTGTACCCATATAAAATCTCGTCTTCTGCATTTACAGTTTGCACCACCCCTAAACGTATCACCATATACTGAATAAGATAAATCCACTCGAGCAAACATTCAGGGACTGCAGATAGCACATTCTCTTATCTCTGATTTTGTGTAGAAATCCCTTCTTCGTATCGTTTTATCTGAAGTTTTCTTGGACGCACCAACAGCTTTCGAAGCTTCACCAGAGTTCAATCCATGCGCATTTTTCAAATGACCCTCGAGCTGAATGTCCGTGAAGCGACTTTGCTTTGTTCCACACGTGCTCAACCCGCATTCAAAACTTCCGTGTTCTTTCTGTATGTGCTCGGAGACAGGTGTCTCAACTTCTTTCCCGCAGTGACTGACAGGACACGTACTGACAGTAGATGGTTTATCATGACATTCCCGGATATGAACCCATAGTTTGTCTTTGCGGGCGAACCCTATGTCTCCACAGTGCACAAATGGACACTCGTGGTTACGTGCACGAACATGTGCAGTTTGTCGGTGTCGTTCCAAGTCATACTTATTTCTAAATGGTTTCTGATAGCCACAACCCTCAGCGTCACAGACCAAGGGTCTCAAGTGTATATTCTTTAGATGTTTGTTGAAAGCTTTTGGGGTGGAAAATGTTGCCTTTGAAGTACATCCAGCCCAATCACACTGAGCCGGCCCGCAGAAATTAGACTCCAAAAGATCAGCATATTCGCTACCTTGAGCCGATATTCCAGGGCCTGTTGAGATGTTTAACAGCTTCTCGTGACTCGGTTTACCAGATTGAAATTGTTCAGTACAAGGAAGCCATTGTGAAGAGATGCCGTCAATCAACCAAGAATCATCAAAATCAAAATTCTCAAATATTTGAGAATCGTAAATCATTGGACCAAACGAACTTTCGATTTTGGGATCGCACGTCAAATTAGGCACCCAAAATTTGCCATCGGCTGAGGGAAAGGGGAGGTTTGGGGCATTGTGGAGCCATTCCTCATTGGGACTAGCGAAAATGCACTGTCAGCACAACAAGGCTCGTCCTGCGGGGAATGGTCACTCACAAAATTTGAGGATTGCCCCAATTTGAGTCGGTACAATCTGATTCGATAATATCTGGAAAGATGCTGGGAAAGCCTCTCAATACGTTGTTGCCGTGTACATCAGTGTCGAGGCAGGACCTTGGAACTTTGGTAGAATTGGGGCATTGTCCATCGCTGTATGCACTACTGCAAGTGCTGTATGTGCAATACGAGGCTGATTCGTGTTCCGAATTGTCGCAATTTGATTGATCAAAATTTCTTCGAGTCATGGCTATGTTGCTCGCAAGGTAATATTCGAGGCAGAATCTTCGGCTTTTAATCTAGATGGGGGTCTCTTTAATCGGCCACAGGTGATAAATCGCTGGAAAGTAAGAAGAAATGAATAAAATTGCTGCATCTTGAGCAATTTTGCTAAGGGGGAAAGTTATGGGTTTAAATATTTGGAATATTTGCAAACTCTTCAGATCCGGATTGATTAAGTGGTTGTTGCTCCAGCCTCATCTTGGTCATCTTAATAGATCCTAGTTGGTCGTAACTATACTACCACATCACACTGAATAGTTGGAGCCAATTTCTTTGCTTAATGACTTCTTAATCTGGTAGAGGTGGATTGGATACGAACAGCGTGAAGATTTTGTAATTTGAACGACCAGTTACATAGAAGCTCAAGACATTAGAAATCAAAGACCCAAAAACCTCCAACCCATCATTAAGAAATCGTTAATAGTGATTCATCATAAATTTGCCAAACAGTGAGTAAATGTCGAATGCAAATTCTCCTCCCCAAGAGGTTAATCCAATGGCCCATTTGCATGTCTGAGTAGTGTCGACATCGGTGTCGATCCTGACTTTCAAAGTAAAGACATCGATTAACATGAGTTATTCACTCACTCATGCGGTCGTGTTTCTCACATTGTGAGTTGAGGCTAGGCTTTAATTTGACTCAAATAAATCTAAAAAGCGTTAGTAACGTTTACAAGGGTATGGTGCTGTGATTTCGTACCGTTATTTCAATCTAATATGTGCCTGATACTTGACATCATTGATATCTTTCCACAAGGGTAGGTCACATTTGAAGTTCACTGCCTCTAAGGACTTCTGATGACAGGTTCACCTAAGTTCACCATAGCCATGAGATTTTAATAGGTGATCTTTCAGCAATGCCTGATCCTTAAAACCGTGTCCAGGACCCCGAGAGCAATCCACAGCAGAACAGGAGTAAAAGCCATGCCATTTCTCCATGTGTTCCTTTAAGCGATGCTTTCTGTTGAACTCCTTTGCGCGGCCAGCACAACGTGGGATATCGCAAGTAAATTCCTTAGGGCCATCGATATGGATAGCTGTCGAGTGACGCCTGACTTCCGCAGTTGTGCCGAATATCGCATTGCACCTTGGGCATAAGAATCGCTTTTCATGTGCTCTATACCAGTGGGCTTGCAAGCCGGAAGAGTCTGTAAAGATCTTTGTATTGTTGCGCCTACACTTTTCATGTGGACACTTGCAAGGAAACTGACACTGATCAATTATAGTGCCTGATGGTGAATATTGGTTTTGGTTGTCCAAAGCTGCTGGCTCATGATTTGTGGCGACTTCCTGGATTCGAGAATGATCGTATGAATAGGAAGGTGAATACTGCGATTGGGCCATATTGACGAAAGCATATTGAGCCTCCGATGTATCGGAAGGCTTATGACCTCTCAAAATAATATCTGCTTGGTTCATTCGGCTATTATCTTCTGTAGCGACTTGCATTACTTCATTTACTGAAGCCACAAGGTTGTTCTGCTGACTTAGATCTTGCTCCCAGTTGCTTACATATCCTGATGAATCACACCCACTAAGGGAATACGCTTGCGAGCTTTTTATCGAAGTGTAATTGGTTGAGGGGTATTTAGTATTGAAATAGTGCTGTGTATCTGGATTCCCCAAACTCTGCCACCCCGCTTCAGGCTCATTTGACTGCCCTGGCTTCGCAAAGCTCGATTGAATCGCTTCATTGCCCACATGACTTTGTTTCATCCACCCGACACTTGGTACATGTAAATGCGCATTGTTGGCGAATGCTCCTGGATCGAGAGAGAGAGACGGGGAATCATAGGGTTCTCCAGTTGAAGTGCAGAATGATTGAGTGAATGATGCGTAACCACTGGAATAAGGGATGCATGGATTTTGAAACTGGTGTGTGGACTGGTTTCCAATAGGACTTGAATCCACTGATTGAGAACAATAGGGGACATTGCTAACATAGGCCTCATGGACTAAGTTTGAGTAGCCATCAGGGCGAAAAATGTTGTTGGTGGTTATGTACCGAGGGTTGGGAGGTAAATCCTGGCTAGCATGCTGACAATGGCATTGGTCTTCCCTGAAGCCACACAATCTACACACCCTACACGCCATAATTCTTTGTTGTATCGCAGACAATATTTTCCAACAATTTGTGAAGTTAATAGCACGGGAACTTAGTCAAATAGAGGTAATATTTCGCAAATAGTGTTCCGCGCCCCTGAATGAGTATCTACGTTTGCGGAAAGTCATCATTAGTAAAAATACAACTTTCAAATGCCCAAGAATATAGCGTCTATTGATAAGACTCACCGAAGACTAATCGTCCTTATTGAATGAAAGTTTGCGCTGGGCTTATCATACTAGATATGCTTCTAAATCGAAATGAGAAAATACAAATTTGTGACGGGCCTCAAGTTCCTTCTAGATACTTAACATGTTTTTGTATGAACAATTTGTAGGCGAAAGAAAGATCTTATACACCCCATATTACTTTCATCATTTTGGGCAGGCTGAGCATTATACTATAGTTAAGAGGGCATTATGGCTGTAAGTGACGCTCTTTTTAGAGGGCAATTGAAAAGCTCTAACCCCTCGTTATACCCGCCTCAGATGAATAGCAATTGGTATTGAATGGTGTCCAGAAGCCGGGCAATTGGGGCCTCACAGATTGCATTTCGGCCAATGAAGTAACTATAATGAGAATATTGATGAATCTCAACATTGGGCAGTGCAAAGCATCTACAAGAAGGAAAAAAAGGCAAAGAAACATAGAGAGAAAGGGTGGCTTATGGAAAATTGTGAGGAAAGGCTGGTGATCGTGAGGATTGAACATCGAAGATAATTTTTTTATGGCGGGGTAAACAGTGATGTAGCAACTTCAATAGATCAAATGGAACAAAACAAAAGCTAGATTGAAATAAACAATTTGCATCTACAGATTGGACTGGAAAATACTTCAAAAATGAAGTGAATCTCATAGATCCAGCAAATGTCTTAGCACATAGCGAGGCTGAGGTAGAGCAATTATGAAATTTACCTACATTGCGGCCTTTTCTCCTTGCCTGCCTAATGAAGCTCCGATCGGAACCGGTCCTCATGAAGAGCAGTAGAAGCTCAAACTACATTGGGAGAGGAAGTTGTCCTCGTGGTTGCTGGTGCATTAGTGTAGGGGCAATTGTACATGATGGGCAATCATGGGCAGATTCACCAGATGACAAGAACTTTCGCTGCGGTTCGAAGAAATTGACCTTGAAAGTAGTTCTGTAGTGACCGTTTGATTCGGCAACGAAAATGCGTGTTAGACCTAGGTTATTCATTGAGTCTGAAACTGAGATGCTGGAAATACCGGTAACACGAATAACCTCGCGTATATCGAATCGATCCGTCTTCTTCGACTCACGAGACTGAGGTCAATAATAATCGAGAGCTTTGAAGTGTTTTAATTCTAGGCGAGCGGATTTCCTACCTTTCTATACTCATGGCTTTGAATCGCCTAGGGCGAACACATTTGCGGCGATAAATTCCTGCCAAACATTGAGAGACCTACTTTGTTCTCTGTCTCGCGTTCTTAAAGCGCCTTGGGCAATTGTATGATTAGGTCACCGAGCTCACAGGCGAGCCACGCATAAAAAGCTGCGCTTCCCCACAAGCAACAATGCAATTCGGTTTTGTGTGTATCCTAGACGTCCGATAAAGTCAATTCTAATCGGTCAGACATAAAGGTCTCTTGTCCAAATTGCTTTGGGCAACGGAACACATGCTAGGGGCAAAATTGTTTCCCGGATGTCAAAGAATAATGTTCGTATTCATCACAACCGCCCAAACGGTGTAAAGCACAGCGACTGTTGACACTACTACGACACTGATCGCAGCTACCGAAAAAATGCCCCATACAGACACCGTAACCAATGCCAGTGAAGCTAAAGGTGATTCTTCATTCGACAGCAGTCATCATACCAGACCCTGGCCAGCACAGGGGGAAGTAACACACAACTCGGACATTTGGAACCCTGGCAATTCTTTTGGGAGAGCGATATTGAGTTATGCCGAAGAGATCAATTCTTTGCCTACCGTCACCACATCTTGGCCGCTGCGAGAGCTGTGCAAGCACCCAGAGTATCGTTGGTGTCAATATTGTAAAGTCGAGATACAGATGAGGTCAATTGCTAGCGTATATTTTGCTTTTTGCACTACATTAGCAGTGCAGCCGGCAGGCTCGGACCACCAGTTCCCCCAAAATCACCAATCCACATCAAAACCTATGTATGTTCTGAGCGACAACTTAATAAATCAACATGAATGGCTTATGGGCTTCATAGGTTTTAATACGTGGACCTATCTAGGTTGTGTTAGAGCTTGCGTTGCAGCGTGATTCGGACAGGTGTCTGAAATCTTGGTGCAGACAAAAGTTTGAAATACGTTTGTTTACTCTCACTATCTTGCAAAGACGACAGTTTTGTTATTTAGAACTGGCGCCCGTTTGCCGATCATATGGAATGAAACATCAACCCACTCACAATCTTACCGTAAGTGTGTCTCTCGAGGAACCGTATACTGGAAGGGTCTCAATACATTAATGGTACCGTCGGATACCTAGATTGATCTACTATACATACACACTCCACCAGCCAGGTCACTGCTCAAAACATCTGCTGATATCCCGAAATTCTGCTAGGTTCGATCGAACCACCGCCACAAGGAGGCCTACACAATGGTCTAGCACAACAAGCTTTCGTGGTGGGCTTGTTGACTTCCACGACATTACGGACATCATCTTGGAGATACATGAGAAGGATTATAGATATGTAATTGTTTGGGAAATTGAAAAAGTCCACCGAAATAATTCAACGAGAAATCCAAAAGACTGATATTTAAACATCGCGTAAAAATCATGGGTATCGTCAGCAAACAAACACGATTCCCTTTAACATAACACAAAAAGCTCATTTCAACACAACCACAACCCCAACAGTCGCCCGTGACAAGATCCTCATCAATCGTTACCGAAAAAAATGCTAGTGCTATGCAACCGGGGCACCTTATATATAGACCCATACATATAATTCTAAGATGAAAAATTGCGATGTTAGCCCTGCATTCCTTTAGCTGGGAAAAGTCTTCATACCTGTTATGAATCATTTCTCTCATAGCCATCTTTTACAAGAAGCCTCACGCATGACGACTGTGCATATGGTCCGTCAACAACACCTGTTCTTTAAATCCATTGCCAGATCCCCGATCGCAGTAAGGAACAAGACAGCAATAAGGTCCATGCCACCTGTCATTATGCTCGCGAAACTTGTCTTTCCTGTTGAACTCTCTCGCACGAGCTTGGCATCCTCCGATATGACAGTAATGCTTTTTGGCACCGGTTTGATGTATAGCTTCATCATGGCGGTTAAGTTCATTGGCCGTTCCGAACATGGCACCATCAATCGGACATTGATATTGCTTATCATGTACACGAAACCAATGACGTCGCCAATCCGAGTGTTCTCGGTAGTTCTTTTGCTTGTCTGAAGACTTCGCAAGGCAACTTGCATGTTGACAGATCCCCGGACTCCAGACGTCTGAACTCGCATCCGCATCATATGAGGCATTGATTTGCATATCAGTTTGATGAGTCGGGTTGCGAGTGGCGGCAAGTTGTTCAAGAGGGATGTTGTCAATAGGTGCGAACGTGGGTGTGTATGTGGGTGTATAAGTTGCCTGTTGCTGATAGCGATTCCCTAAAGGCCAAGCTTCCTGAGGTTCGATGCTGGTTGACATTGTCGGGCGGTCAAAGGGCGGAGATTGGGAATCGTGTGGCTGAATTTGATCGCTGTATTGTGCTCCTCCGTCGGTGTATGAATACGCGTATGGTTGTTGCATCTGGACAGCAGGTTGGATGGGAGCTGTGGTAATAGATGCAGGCGTAAAAGTGCTATAGCCTGGGGTAATGACTGGATCTTGATGCTGAAATCTTGGTGGAAGCCTGAAAGCATACGCTACCGGACCTTCTGGTTGTTGATAAAGAGCACGATCGTGAATGTACTGTTCCTCCCAAGTGGGACTCGTAAATTGGTTGCCGTGAGAACTCATCTCGCCAATTTTCTCTTGGGGAATAATCAAGAAACTATAAAATATTCTCAGAAGATTGATGGTGCTTGAACTTGCCACTGCCACCCAAAGATTGAAGATGTTGAGTGATTCTTTTTTGTTCATAGAACGAAGGGGTTAAGGCCATTCTATGCTATTTAAAATTCAAGTGGAAGAGTTAGGGCATCCTTGGGGTAACCCAAGGGCATGATATCAAGAGCATCTTCGAACCTAAAGTGTGAGTTGAAGTAAGTAAAGCTCACCGAAAGGAGCAGTTCTTCATACCTCCAATCAAGATCGTAAGTCTGGTATGGGGAATACTTAGGGCAAATGGGGCAGCTTCTGGGGCAGTCTACATACCTTGTCTATTGAAAAAATTGGCACATTGTAGAAGCCTCAAAAAGCAAGGCAGATTGTCAGGAATTCGCTCATAAGATAGGAGAAAATGGATGATGAGGAACCTATTTCTAGAAATACTGTATAATATTGAGATTTTGTCCAAGTCTAGCTACTGAATGGAATAAAGATACCGCAAACAGACCACCTGGAATAGGGGAGAGCTTTGCTCCAAATTTTGGCTCTCTAAAACGCTAGAGTAGATAGCCAGCCTTGAGCCCAAAAAGGCTCTGGTTTGAAGCACATCGTGCTCAGAAAGAAACGAAAATGAAGGGTTCGTATTGCTTTTTTGCAGTTATCTCACCATAAGCAGTCTGTATCAGTACCATTCTGACTCGCTTCCCCTGAACTCAACCGACATAAAAATGGAATATTCGCATTCTCCCTGCTAAAAGACTTCTGTGTGCTGATTAGCCTATGATTCAAAAGTCTGGGCAAAACAGTAAGATGCTACTCACACGTTGAATTCTCGAAAGAACACACATCTGAATACTTAGACCCATTTGGAAGATCGTTTTTTTAAAAGGAACGGACCGAGAGACTGACTGCAATATGTGGTGATATCTCGTGCAGGCGTTGTACCTTTATCATTGTATATCTTCTGACAAAAGGCATATCTCCCTCCGTATGCACAATCGTAAGAGTATTCTCACTCCAAGCCATAAAGACTGGGGTCAATTAGCTACGCAGAGCAAGTATGACTATTTCATACCGACAGGATGGTCGTTCTAGTACTGGCGGGCACAAAAGAATTCGACGATAATTTCTCCTTGAAAAAGTGAGATAAAAGGAAGTCAAGAACATCTTATATTCTGCATGTTGCTAGAAAGGCGTAGCAACTCGGTGGATAGGAGCATCTGGATACTCAGTGCTTGAAAAGAGTCGCCCAACAGGGAGAAAAACAAACCTTGACCGCGATGATGAGTAGCACCTAGGATGACACGGCGCACCAATAAGAATAGAGTTTATAATTTAGCCTACTGTAATTGTCGCTCAAAATTCCAACAATTTCCAAACGGTGTCATGATGATCGCATCTGTCGAAACTAGGCATTTCGCCCTTCCCAGGGCGATCTGTACGAAATGCCCCAAACATACAGCTCATTTTCTTTGCTCAATTGCGGTCGATAAAGGTAAACCTTAGGAATGAAGCTTTGCGACAGGCAGCCCAATAGGCTCAGAACGGGGCATAATTTTTTTTGTATCTTTCGCCCGGTCAGCCTACAGTCAACGTGCCATTCTGTCCAAAATCTGTTGATGTTGCATATGGGGCATTATAGCCCCTGTAGTTGCATGAGCGCATCATTGACAGATAAAAGTGATTAAGCCTCACATTCCACCAGAGGCGAGAGAGATTGCCAGCATGTCCTGAATTCATGTCCTGATTGATGAGGTTTGGGGCATAAAATACTACGAAAACGATAAAGAATTTCCCCAATGCACTTACGAAACGCCGCATGACAGAAGTACACTAGAAAATTAACTGACATAGGCGTGCTTACACCCCAGTCTAAGAAAACTTTTGGCAAGGTCGGTGAAAGATTGCCGAGTGCTGCGGTACGGAAGAAGTAGCCACCAGATATCAAGCGCTGCATAGTGAGGCTGCGAGCCTTTCCAACTTCTTATCAATCTGCGAGTTATTTTCACGGAGTTGAAACAGTAGATAGTTGTGCAAGATGATTCGAATTTTGGAGTCACGCAAATTCAGGTTTCGTCAAGAGTTGTAGATGGCGAGATAGTGCCAGAGCCGCAGAAATTGAACGCATTTTCAACTATGTTTTCTTGCTAATAAATTGAAGTAAATGGCTGAAGGTACGTTGTCCGTGTCTGAAATAATAGCTTCGATACACACAGAATTTTCCCCACTTTAGAAAGTTTATCTACATGCAATTGTACCCCAAGGAAAGCAGGAAACACTTCGAGGAGAAGAAATCTGGAATTCGCAGTCAGGTAGGCAGAGCAGACCGATAGACTCATACAGGTTTATATATAAACACAAGGATCAGAAACCAAGCACCCCAGCCTCTATGCTCTTTTCGACGATGCTGATCAAGTGCATCGTGGTCCTTGAATCCATGATCAAGCCCCCTTACACACCCTTGATACTGGCATGGGAATGGCCCATGCCATTTATCACGGTGATCATTCTACTTATCTCTTCTCGTGAACACCTTAGTACTCCGTTGACAAGTCGGAACCTGGCATTTCCAATGTTTAGCATCTGCTTTACCAAAATGATGAACAGAAAGCCGATGGCGCTTGGCTTCTGCTTTTGTGCCGTACCTCCTTTCGCTATTTGGACAATCTGGCAAGCCGCAGAGATGTTGCTTGTGGTGAGCACGTATAAAATGGCCTTGCCAGTCTTTGTATTTACTGTACAACCAGGGCTTGTTTGTTCGCTTGCGTTGACACTGAGGATGCAGACATACGCTTGGAAAGCTTCTCGGGCAGAATTGATCAATTGCTAAAGTACGTATATAATCGATTTCTGAGCTTTTGCTTCGTCCCATATTATGAACTTCTCCTAGAATCTGGACGCCATTCGAGGGAAAAGGAAGTATTGGTGAATGTGAATTTATGTAGTTGGAAGCATGTTGTTGATACGCGATTTTGGTATAGGGTAATTGAGAGGCATGAGAGGGATGAAAGCTCGGGGCGGTTGTATTCTTATTCGAAGTATTTGCGTCATTATAGCTCTGAGATTCTTGACATGAAACGGAAATATTCGATGGATGCGACATACTGTGGGACAGAACAGCACCACTGCAATGCGTGCCCGGGACTCCAGGAGGATTTTTCCACAAATCAGTGGGGTGCACAGTCAGAATATCCGATCTGTTTGTGCTTGAAGAGATTGGTGCCATGCCCAAAGGTACCGCGTTTGTGATTGAATGATATGATGTAAGTGCTTGAGGAGGCTGTGCCAGACGGTTTTCAAAGCCATCTTGCCTGAAATAAACGGCAGAACAAGAACCATGATGATTGTACTTTACAGGTACATAAGCAGATGAACTTGGCGAGAGGTTCTTAGTTTGATAGTGACCTTCCATGGGGGCTTTTCGGTATGAACTGAGTTCCGCAATCGAGTTGTTCACTGACTGGCTCCCTTGATAGGCTCTAGGATCGAGTTGACCTTCAGAAGCACCTTGAAGTAGATCCGTACAAGATTCAAGATCGGAAGGAGGAGATGTGAAAGGTTGAAATTTGGATACAGTATTTATACCGTCTCCTGAATCGTAAGACCGAAAGGCTGGAGAGGTACTGCTTGCCGCATCGTTTTGAAAAGAACGAATAGGCAATGAAGTGCGTAAAATTTCATGTAAAGGCGATTCTAGATTTTGTAGAAACCCATAGTCATGAGGCACGTCACCGTGAATATAAAAAGGATGCTTGGACTTTGGAGATATATATGGTTCGACTTTTACATCAGAATTGCAACTCTCTTTGTGCCCAATAATGCTATCACTGTTCTTTGGTGACTGTATCTTAGCCGATGGATGGTTGTAATAGTTTTGCACCAAGTCCATGCCAGTGTCTTCAGTCTTGTATAAGCTACTTGCGTGTCCTAGCTTCGAAAAGTATCCTACAACCTCCTCGCAGTGGGCAATAGTATCGGTGGGATTCGTGGCGGGTAGGGAGCTGATATAACGGGACCTGGATGGAATCGGCATAGATATTTTGTGATAAACGGACAAGTGATATTTGTAGTGAAAGACCGCGCCTAGGTTCGTTTCTTTATAAATATAAGAGCTGGGAAATCGGGTCGTTGTTGTGGAGAAATGTGTGTTTATAAAGAGCCAGGCAGGAGAAAAAACTCGCACTGGTCCCGTAACAGCTTTTTGTGATTTGGGAGGGGCTTATCAGCAATATTTATTGTTGAGGGGTAGGTGGTGCATCAAGTAGATAAGGAACGACGACGTCAATGAGACAATTAAAGACTGACCATGTGCAGTACAGATCTTGCGATCATGTCAGTCAATCGTACATGCGTAATCAATAGGTCCCCAGGAAACAACAATCCAGTGAAGCTAGTAAGGAGGCGAAGTTTTATGGATTTGAATCCAAAACTCAATGGTTGGTTGATGAAATGCCACCTCAAAGGGGTGTTTTGAGGGCATCCAGGCAGAATCATGGCATGTTCTGCTTGTTTGTGACACGAGAACAACGACACTGCGCCCCGTACCATCACCACGCTCACTCATCAAGAATTTGATTCCAAGCCGTACTGAGGAAACGAGATTGCAAACTGGCCCGATAATTGCCAAGGATCCGAAGACCTAGCATGGCAAGGAAACGATAGCTTTCAGGGACGATAGCATGGAAAGTTCGAGGACTTCCTACGACAGAATCTTGTCGCGAACATCTTATCTTCAAATTGCAAGAAGTGTTTCGCACCCAAAACAAGAGAACAGAGGCTGTGCAATGGTCATATGAAGGTAGTAGAGGTCAAAAGAATGAGAAAATAAGGAGATATTGCCTGATACATGCACTGAGTTGTATGTTATCCATATGTATAAGCAGGCCTGATCTGCGACTGTAGAATGGATAAATCAAACATAAACATGCGGTGAGCCGGTGAGCCAAATGAGTTGAGAAGGCTGAGAAATTGAAAGTTCATCATTCAAGTGAAATGAATTTCTTAAGTATGGGAATTCGAACATAGAGGGGTTATTGTCAATAATGGACACGTAGATGGGTATATTGCGAAAGGTTGCATATAGCCGGACTACCGATATGCTTGTGCTGGGATGTTTACCCAAAATGGACGGAGTCCGGCACCGAAAGGATGGTGGGATTATGGATGATCAAGATATGAAATAAGAGATAGTGCGAAGTTGAAGAATCGCTCGCAATCATGAATAAAAGAAGTTACAGTATCGAGGGACGAAGGGAATTCGAATATATACGTCTCAAGAATAATCGATCGCCCAGGGCGGATTATGGAACTCCAACTGTTCGTACTCAGATCTTTGAACCGGTGCCGCCCTCAGCTTACTGAGTTAGACATTGAAGAATAAAAATGCAAGGCGACGGTACACGATGTTATACCATCTTCGGTGCATGAGTAACAATGCACATGGCATGTTTGTTAGTCAGATTGTTTGACGTTGGTCTTAATAACAGCGAGATGGGATCCAGCCTTCGAACTACTTCGTAACAACTAAGCTACGCTAATGGCTTAGAGAATGTCGGAGATGTTCGTGGGGAAAAACATCTATAAAAAAAGATGAATGGCAATGTGAGGTAGATGATTGCACAAATGAGAGAATTTGAGGGTTCATTTGCCTTCCCTCATGGTCATCAAGGACGGGACCTCCATGCAGGAGTTGACCAGAGACTTTGATCAAAAATCCCCTGCTTCTATCCTTTCTCCAATTTTATGGCTTTCTTCTCGATTGCATTGCAAGATACGACTCGTTTGGCACGAGTAAATTCCTAAACGCAATCGTCCTTCAAAGAAAAGAATAAGCTCCACCAAGACCCGTATCAGGTGTCAACTACCATCCCAGATAATCGCTAACCCTTTCCCATAGAACATTTCGAGTCCTTGGCATTGCAGCCCCGCTAGAGCACTGATGTTTTGAGAAATGATCGCGCGTCCTGCCATCGATAAGGTTGGAGCTCAAGAAGTTTGATTACATTTGCGAAAGCTCTTCATTTCAGCTTGATCCAACAATATATTGCCTCATAAAATCCCATGGTATCCTGGGGATCTTGAATCCTAAGATAAATTCGCCCTTGGGAATTGTGATGTGTATGTAGATTTGAATTTGAAGAGATGTAAGCGACGTTGATATTTCCGTTCTGGTCGATGAAATGGCACGATTTCGAAGTTGCTTCTGTCGGAAAAGTCTTGCGAAGTTGCTGGAAAAATTATCTTCTCTGTTCTAGTTGACGTGAAAAAGAACTTCGGGCGCTCACGGGAGAAGATTCTAGTCCGAATTAGGCATCGATGCATTGCTGTCCACAACGAATTAAAACATTACCAATTCCACAGCCAATAATCTCTCTGGATGATCATTATATTTTGTACGTTCATTAATACCTAGTTCTATGACAAGATCTCTGATAAGATAGTTTTCGCGCTCGTTTGGAACGACACGAAAGGTAAGTATTTTAAGTCTAATTGCAAAAGACATGACTGCACATGTGCAACATAAAGTACATGCAGAAGTTTACTTCAGCAATCAAGATTGTAAGACCACTCGAAGTGGTCTCGAGCGCTGACGGAAACCGAGATCACTAGAGATCAATCCCACCCAAGAGAGAGAGGTCAGATGGAATGAGAGGATATTGAGACAAAATGCCAAATGGAAAGTCATACAAGTAACCGAGTACTACAAAGGCATCAAAGCGATTATACTTGCCGACGGTTCTGCTGCTGTTATCTTGCAGATGGATGGACGGCGAAACGATCTATAGCAACACGAGAGCCTCTACTTTCGTTGAAATTCTGTCAAATGACCACGCAGGATCTAGGGAGAAAGATGATGTCCAAACTATTATAGAGAGATGAGTTTGTGAGAGCTTTCAGGCGAGGACTGAGAATTCGGTGGCTTCAATGTATGGAGAAACTACTCGGTAACCCCTGAGAACAATGAGTAGTGTACCAAGTAGACCGAAGGAATCCATGAAATCTTCCGATCTTTGTAAAATTGAAACATATGATATACTAGTTCAATACTGTATACATCCCAAATCATGTCACTATAATACAAAGCTGCCCATATATCCACCCTCCTCAATCGAACAATCAAAAGTCTACGGCTAATTAGCCTTCTCCAAAGTTGCGGCCGATACTAATGTCCCCAATCCCAGTATCCCCTTCGATCACCCATGTCACCCCTCTTAACACAACCCGGAGAAACGTGATCTTCCAAACCTCCCCAGGGCCAGATTGCCACGAAACATACCTCATCATAACCACACTTTCCACATTCCAGCCAGGTGGTCCAATCCAATCCATTGATCAATTCTCTGATCAATTGTTTTGCTTCCTTTTCTTTTGCACCCTTTTCATCACTACCTATTAATTCTCTGACTTCAAACAAAGTATTGCAAATATCACGAGACACCTTGAGAATAGCGGCGTGAATCAAATGATCTGCATCCGTTTCCGGTGTCACCGGTCTTAGATAGTGATTCGCGCATTTCTCAATCGAGGAAGGAATATCAATCTTTTTGTAATCCGTATGCGCATCCAACAGCAATTTGATTTCCGATAATAACGCGGCTTCTGACGTCTCATTTTGAACCATAAACTTGAGACGATCCGAATACCTCGTAACAATCATATCCACGACATTTTGCCAGTTGATCGTTTCTCTCTTCTCGTACTCTCCAAATTTGAACAACTCCAGGATATCAGAGCGGATTCTCTCCAAATCACCTGATTCGGAAGGTCCGACCAATCTAGGAAGTTCAGAACGAGAAGGATTGGGGTTAGTAATATTGAGAGGGTAAAAGAAGGCAGAGATCATGGAAGAATAATCGACTTCTACTCTCCCCCCCATGATACCCTGGTACCTATAAACGAGAGCCCTCACATACTCAAAATGCCCCACGTCATCTTCCCCGTTCTGAAACCCTCCAGATTTGTCGTCTCTCTGAGAGGCACCTATGAACTCAAGCCTATCTTTGAAACTACATAGGATAATTTCAAATCCCGCTTCCATGCGAAGAATTCCTTCAATACCATACTCCTCGCCGATCCTACAAAGATCAGCTGCACGAATCCAATCATTGTTTGGCTCTGTTGAAGTGGGAGAAAGATTGCGAATAATGTAGTCTGTAGAATCAAGGGTTCCCATACTGATCTTCCCGGCGGACATTCCGTCGATGTAGATGAGTTTGGTGAGGGGCTTGGAGGTACGGTAGGTGTGGAGATAACCATGGCTATCTTCTTCTTTGTCATCAGAATCATGAACATTATCATCATGCTTGGCTTTGAGTTTAGGATGACTGTCCATTTGTACATGCGGAGGAGGACTTCTTCCCGGTCCTCCGGGAGGTTTCCCACCAGGACCTTTTCCTTTGCCTGGACCATGATTTCCAAGACCTCCAGGACCCCCAGGACCACGACCTCTTCTAGGACGTGCAAATACCTCCGCGTGCTCAATTTCGAAAGCTAACCATTCCATCCCCTCGACCGGCTCGGGTATGTGGGTTCCATGGTAAAAGAGAGTCCCTTCCGGTATGGTTGCTGGGAAAAAGGACACCCCATTATGTTTTAGAGAAGAACCCCATTGTCGCATAGACGAATGAATTGTGTTGAAGATCTCAGGTGCATTTGCGCGGGCATGTTCTATACTAGGACCATTGGATGTTTGGAGTAACAATGGTGCTTGATTAGGCACTGCACTAGCGCTAACTAATAGGAATAGTAGCGGAGCGAGAACTAGAGGCAGTGAAAGCATTCTCGATTTCATACCAGCTACTATCCTTCAAGTCAGAAGAACAATGACCAAAATGGTGAAAAGATTCCGAACCAGAGGAGGACGGACAACACTCTAGTATTTATGATTTCAAGGGCCAATACAATCAACAACAAGCAATAATAAGTAATAATAATGAAGTTGCGGGTACGCATACGCAGCTTACGACGACGCGATTCCTAAACTAATTTTTATCTTATCAATCTGATCAGTCAGGGATGCAGTGGCGATATGCAACCAATGAGTGAGCGGATTAAAAGGGGACTTGAAAGCTTGATCTGCAAGAGTGGGGCATAGTCTATCGGTTCCGAGCTGTCATTCCTTCGTCGGTGTGATTCATCCTCACTCAGCTGTTCGGTACACTGAAGTTGGCGAATGTGTATAAACAGAGAGGCAGCATAAATGAAGACGGTTCTCTTGAGTCGAGAAGAAAGAATCAAGTGCCACTTGATTGCAATTGCCATGTAGACTTTTGATTCACCCTACAATCACCTGCCTACTTCATTTGAGACTTACACCCAAGGAAGTGAGTTCTGACAACATTTGACTTGCTTGCGAATGAGAAAATGGTACATGAATTGCAGATTTACAGCGGGTGATAAATCAGAATAAACGAGTGTTTAGTTCAGAGGAACGTCAATGTCCAACATCAAATTCAAACCCAGCACTGCCTGACCAAAGCTCTAAATCTGGTATTAGGAACTAAAATCTCAATAGAAGTTTAGTAACAAGGGGATGAGATGCAATTGGATTTCATTATTTTCATCATTCATACTTATTTCCTGCCAGCGGCATGCTATAAGTCGATACCCTCCATCTCGGCCCATTGAACTATATATTTCTTGACCTAAACATCTTGAGCTTGGTACGATATAATATGGGGGGAATAATGATCACTAACCTGACTGTCAGGGGCAAGGTCCAACGCAAGGCAACCATCTAAATCCTTCTTGTCTGTTTCTGCGCCGGCTTTTAAAAGTGCTACTGCAGTGTCACCTGTATGTATGTTTTAGTAAGCTGAAAGATTTGTGACAAAATCATCAAAACTAATCGGGATATCTCCCAATCTGATATCTGAAGGCAAGTGAACAAAACTAACGTACCGTGACCTTCAGCAACGGCATGATGAAGTGGTGTCTGTCCCGCGACATCCGTAGGATTCAATGGACTTTTATTCTTCAACAATAACTCAACTAATGGGGTGGATCCAATAGCCGCTGCACGATGAATTGCATACTGTCCACGCTTGTCCTTAATTCTACAGGATGCAGGTGGGGTTTGCGAAAGTAGAAGTTTGGCTACTGGGAGGTTGTTTTTGGAGGTGGCAAAGTGCAGAGCGGTCTAAATGTCAGTTAGATGGTTGTTCGTAGGGGTGCTCAGAATAGTTTGAATGTCATACCTGGTCGGTGAAATCTAAGAGATGATGGGCATCAGTTGAACAGAACCACAACAAAGTAAGGGCATAACATACTCTTAGCATTCACTTCAGCCTCTTTCTTCAATAATAAGTTCACAATGTCGTCGCCTTCCTTGAGGCTGACAGCGATCATAAGAGGTGTCCATCCAGACCCATCCTACAATTATATCAACAAAGTTGCCCACAGTCTAGACAGGCACGATATGAAATATACACACCTGTACGTCGGGATCAAAATTCTTCACATTGGAAAGTAATATGACAATGTCCAAATGCCCATAAGAAACTGCCCAATGAATAGGCAATCTTTCGTCGTCATCTTTCAAGAAGGCGAGTTTTGGGTTGGCCTAAAATTTGTGAGTACTACTCATATTTGTATATAACCAAGTGTTCCATAGCAGAAAATATGGGGATCTCCTACATTGAGAAGGGACTCCACGATAGCAGCTAGATTCTTATTAGTAACAAAAGATGAGAGGAGAGGAGAGGGTATTATACTTCTACCATCTCGACAAGCCTGATGAATGGCGTATTTATCTTCTGATGGCTTTTCCATTGCGTTTCAATGAATTCAATATGATCTTGATGAAAGACTGATTGGAAGAAGAAATATTGTATTAAATTTATTTTGATATCATATGATGGCGTGGAGGAGAAGCCTGGAATGTAAAGCAACAGCCAATAGGTAACCTTGGAACCGACTTAGTGGCTAGTGTGGTGGCCAGTACGGTGGCTTGATGGTCCGTGGCTCACGTTCCTGAAGCTTTATCGCGATAAATTTCCAAATCGCAATCCTCACACGCGCAACTTATCAACATCAACCACTTCCATTCATTATGGCAACCGCAGTCGCATCGTTACCTTCGGACGATCAAATTAAATCTCTAATAAAACAAAATGCCAAACGAACACGTTCTCTTTTCGCAGATACAGAATCAATCCCCGATCCAAAATCTACAGAAACCGCAGACAAATTAGCATTAGTAGGAAGAGTCCACGCCGAATACGATCATGTTCGAGAATTACCAGCTGCCTTGGCTGCAAAACAAGCTGCCGCTGCTGGTAACAGGAGGAAGAAGGCCAAGGTTCAAGCTACAGATGGGGACTCGGCTGCAGACAACAATACTATGAAGATGATCGAAGGAATCCCATCACGAATTGAGAGTTCTGGGGCTGGAAGTAGCACCAGTCTTATAATCCGCGGTAAAGATACACCACCCAATGCGAACGGTCCTTCGATATCTACTGCGCAGAGTAATCTGCCATCCAGTAGTTTAGTGCGCAAACAGAATTTCGTCCAAGCAAAACCCGAATGGCATGCCCCATGGAAACTCATGCGCGTCATATCTGGACATTTAGGATGGGTACGTGCTTTGGCTGTTGAACCCGAGAATCGCTGGTTTGCTTCTGGAGCTGGAGATCGTACAATTAAGATATGGGATTTAGCGACTGGAGGATTGAAACTTACATTGACGGGACATATATCGACTGTGAGAGGATTGGCAGTTAGTCCTCGGCATCCATATTTGTTTAGTTGTGGAGAGGACAAGATGGTTAAGTGTTGGGATTTGGAAACCAACAAAGTGATTCGACATTATCATGGACATTTGAGTGGTGTTTATACTTTGGCTTTACATCCTACTCTGGATGTACTGGTTACGGGAGGAAGAGATGGTGTAGCACGAGTATGGGATATGAGGACCAGGAGTAACATCCACGTATTATCCGGACACAAAGGCACAGTATCAGATCTGAAATGCCAAGAAGCCGATCCACAAGTCATTACGTCCTCCCTTGATTCCACAGTCCGCCTATGGGATTTAGCAGCTGGAAAAAGTATGGGAGCCCTCACCCACCACAAAAAAGGTGTTCGCGCACTTGCCATTCATCCCAAAGAATTCACATTTGCAAGTGGCAGCGCAGGAAGCATCAAACAATGGAAATGTCCCGAGGGAGCCTTTATGCAAAACTTCGATGGTCAAAATGCTATCATCAATACACTCAGTGTTAACGAAGACAACGTATTATTCTCCGGAGGAGACAATGGATCGATGGCGTTCTGGGATTGGAAAACAGGCCATAGATATCAAGCGCTGGATTCTATCGCCCAACCGGGTTCTTTGGATGCGGAGGCGGGCATTTTCACGAGTTTATTCGATAAGACTGGGTTGAGATTGATCACGGGAGAGGCGGATAAAACTAGTATGTGCCTCTATTTCCTTTCCTTTCCTTCCCCTCTTCTTCCATCTTACCCTTGGCAACCTTTGCACCCCCATTCACAAGAAACAAATGCTAACTATCCATTCCCCCAACAGTAAAAGTATGGAAACAGGACGAACTCGCAACCCCAGAATCCCACCCCCTCGAATGGAAACCAGAGCTTGGACGACGAAAGTTTTAAATACATAAATGTATAATATGAAAATGCAAAAAGGCAATGGGAAGGTATTTTGGCGAAGCTAGACGAGACAAGGCAGTTTAGCTGGGGGCGTGTTTGGCGTTTTATAAAATTGCATGCGTAATGGTTTAGATACTTATTGCATACATATACCATTGCTACATGAATGATAATCATTTTTGGGGGGATTGCCATCTTTAGATTATTGCTTCTTTCTTTATATTATTACGCTATCCTGGCTTATTGTGTGTGTATGATAGCGATGGGTATCGATTCAACCGTGTTTCTATTTATCTCTATATCCCTATTTCGACACATTCTCCCTTCCCAAACTCTCGCTACTCCAACCTTACCCTTATCCCACGAACCCTAAGCCCCTAATCTCCGGATCATCTTTAAAAGCAACTTTAACATCTTCCTCTCCAATCCCCAACCGAACCTTGCCCATCCTCTCGGCCTTTCTCACTTCTATCCCTATGACACCCGCCTCCATTAATCCTATTGCCGCCTCGCTCATTCCCTGAACTCTTGCCCCTTTCCCTGCTTGTTTTACTCTGGTTCTGTCTCCATTATTAACGCCTCCGGCCGCCCCAGCACCCGTAAGCAAAAACCCTACTACACTGCCCCCTGTATCCAGCTTCGCCATCCTCCTGCACTCATCGACCACCTCTCCCACAAGACACTCCCCTGTCCCCGCCCTCCTCAATCTCAATACCAACGCAGCCAAGAACATTTTCGTCGCCAACGGTAATGCTCTCAAATACTGTTGCAACGGACTCGTCGTCGCTTCATTGATAGCTTTCTTGACTGTCGCTATGCTAACCACACCTTTCCCTCTCTTTTCTTCTTTACCCGGTGTTTTAGAAGGTGTGTTCGGGATGGAGAGTGATTCTGATTCGGCGATTTCGACGGCACGACGACAAATATCAAGGGCACGACGAGCATCGCCGGATACGGAGGCGACTTTGCGAGAAGCGAATTGGATAGCGTCGGGGTGGATTAGGTGGGCGGGAACGTCGGTTAGACGGGAGGTTATGATTGTTTGGAGCTGCTCGTGGGTATACCCTGGGAAGGTTATACGGGTTAGACCTAAAATTAAATGTCAGCTGCAGTTGAACGAAGACGAAATGACAGTTCGACATACCGAGACGTGAAGAGATTTTGTTGGAAAGGGTACGCTCAGGCAAATCCATGGTATTAGCCACAGCGAGTACGATCAGTTTGGAATGTCTCAGACCAGGCCAGTTGAAAAAATTGTACATGACGCTTTGGTTCTTCGTTACCAGTTGGTCTAATTCGTCCATCAAGACAACGCATGGCTCTCTTCTTGGGGATGGTTTGCTGAATTCTCTTTCCAATAAATCCAATGCGTGACTTGGACTCACACGGTCTCCTTTCAGGGCTTCCCATAACAGTGCATAAGATTGATGCGGATCGGTGACTTTCATTCCGTTGATCTCGACGAAAATAAAAGGATCTAATTCATCGGCTGAGACAGATGCATTAAGCTGTGCGACAACTTCCCGTACCGTTGCAGTCTTTCCGGTTCCCGGAGTTCCAGAGATATATATACATGAGCCAGTACCATCTGTAATAGCAGCTGCAAGATGTGTGTATACTGATGAGAATTCTTCTTCACGACAGGGAAGGGTATCAGGAACGGATGAAACGTGAAGACGCGATCGAGCTGTTTGAAATGGAGAAGCATTAACTGATGGTGAAAGCATACGCATTCCTAAAGGCGTAAACTCTAGTGGCTTCTTAACGACAATCCTACAAATACCGTCAGCATGAATCTTTTTGATCAAATTCCAATGACGAACCGTTTGTGACTGGGAGTAAGTAGCTTGGAGGGCGTGCGTGGTTTTCGCGGGGTTATAACTTTGGTAGTCTTTTGCCTTTTCCTTGGTGTTGCTAAGATTTCTTCATCCACTTCATAATCTTCATCATGCTCAGATGCCACGCTTGCTTCATTATCCTCATCGTGCTTCTTTTTCTTCTTGAGATAAGGAAGAACAGGCTTCTTTCTCTTAGTGTTTGGTAGACTATTTTCGATCTTCTCGATCAATTGTTCAACACTTTCCTCCGTGTTATGGTATACATCATCCCATACGAATTCCTCTGTATATGTGACAGATTTGCTGTGTAACCCTCGGCGGCACATAAATGTTTTCCCATTTTCTTTTCGATTTCTAGGTATTTTCCCTGTTGGGAATTTGGCTTTGAATGCTTCCTCTGAAAGGATGGTAGCTACGCCATTGATGGTCGCCAGTGAAATTGTATCGAGATCAGAAGAAATGTAGAGCTCATTCTATAGTAGTTAGCCACAGGAAGCAGGATGTAAGTATTGTATCTACTTACTTCTAGAAAATCGGATCGCTTCTTCGTTTTATTGTGAATGTCATTTGGGCTACAGAACCACCAAATATTGGCCTTCATTATATCATGGTATGATTCGGCATTTTCGTCATAACCCTCATCTTCTTCAAATCCTGAGATAATTCCAACCCAGTTTGTATTCGAAGTATCGTTATTTATCAAAACACAATCTGCAATCCTGCAGACCGTTTTTCCAGCCCTGGCACCGACAATCCTCTTAGCTCCCGTACCTTTCGAAAGCCGACGCGTTCTCTTAGCTGCTGAACTTTTGCCTCCTTCATCATTGGTCTGCGAGGGCGAAGCGGCTTCTTCAGAAAGCTCATCGTCGTATATCCATTGCCATTCAGCCTCTTCGTCCGAGTCCTCATCTTCATCCGAATCCTCCTTCACCGTGCGGCCAGCTACCAAACGTTTTCTAGCATTCTCAGCTTTCTCTAATCGTGTTTTTGCATCTGTGGGTAAGATTGACTTTGACGGAGGTAGTATTGGAGTTGGTGACATCTTAAATATGGCATGTGTTGTTGATTGACCTTTTTGAGTTTAGGTAATGCAAAGCTTGAACCTTTCATTCCATGTTTTATTTAACCTTGTACCTGAAATTAGTGGAGTGCGGGGAAAGCTTACCATACTACCTACATACGTCCGTATGTATACGGTATGGATGGCTTTTCAGGGGTCTCATCTCATCTCATCTCATCACTTCCAACATCATCATAAACAGCTATAAACACGTATGTCTTTCTTATATCTAGGGATGAACTGATGATGGATACTTCATTGCTGTTATGTTGATATGTATAGGAAGCACTGTAAATACATGATACATACCTAGTACCTACTCAATGTGGAACTCCAAGGCCTTGAAGTCCCTCATCTCTGATTTCTCATCTCGAAATACATAGAGGTAGAGGGTCATCTCAAGGGTCCACGTGTGACAAACAATATGAATGGTCCATATTGCTCTAGCTCGAGTCTAGCCTCCCAAGATAGTGATAGTGGCTCAATGCGGCCGATCTTCCGTGTTCCCCGACGCTAACAACAAGTTGACCTTGAGTTTATAATTTGTCTTTCCTTTCGAAGATCCTTCTTCCCACAATCCTTATTATTTTGCGATTTTTGAACGCAACTTTTCCACATTGTATCACAATGTATCAACATACCTCAAGAATATGTCCCATCATTCAAAGAATCTTCTTTATATGACCGCTTACAATGACTTTTCTTTTCCAAAGAAAGATGTCCTCTTGGACTCTGGTTTCTTTTGGCCGTGACAAGCCATGGAGGAGAACTTTCTCTTCCGACCATGGGTAGGTACATCCTCAACCTGTTCAATCCTGAGGTTAATAAGAACAATGCTTGGGTATCCTACATGACACCATGGACTAATGAGAGACACAGGTAAGAGAGCCAATACTTTTGTTGTAGGTTCTTCCACAATTTCTTTCTGTCACATTTTAAGTCTATCCAAAAGAGATCAACAAACATGCATCTCTGTACTCAATCCACCAAGCCAGACTACCTGGTAGGTAATAAATGTACCGTCAATCATCAAACTTTTATATCTTGTGGACTGCATATGCATGCTTGAAGTCAAAGTTTACAAATTGAATTTGTATATGTGGACTTGGACAAAGTCAAACATAATGATTGGTTCAAAGAAGATACCCTTTGCCAAATATCTTAGGACTTCTCTTTCATGCACGTGGCCCAAGTGATCCATGTTGAGCGTTTGTGGTTATGCGCGGATAGATGCATATGGATTGGAGTCACATAGCACTTTACGCGCGTTTGTACGATCGATAGATCTTCATACGAGACAGATTTTCAAGATTGACTTTCATCTGAAAACATTTTCTTTTCATATAGTTATCGATATTCTCATGTTGAAGTACGCAAGCCAAAATTCAAGAAGACTCACATCATTACTGCAGTATTTCTGTTACTTGCGTAATTTCTGAGAAGTAGCCAGCATCTCAATAACAATTCACTGATGGTACAATAGGTCTTTTTCCTCTTGGATTCTCACCGGGTTTTCCCCGCGATAGAGGCCAACTGGCAAGTTCAGCCATTGAAAACTGGACTGTTGAGGTAAGAGAAATAGACAACCTTTTCCACTTCGTATCATTCACATTTCACCTTGGAAGTTGTAACGAATATTATTACTTGAAGTCTCGTCATATATTCGAAGATCAGAGTTGATACCCACAAATGGCAATTCGAATCACTTTTTTCTCTCTTTCCTCTCTGGCTCTTCACCGCTTTACAACAGACATTAATGGTGAATTTGAGAAAGAAGGAAGTTCCCGTCATTTTATTCTTCACTCGCCTAAGTTTCTAATTTGAAATATTGGAAAGAGCGTGACTTTCTTCCTTCCTCTTTGGTTGCTGTTGGATATTATTGTCAACCTAAAATCTCGCCACTTTCAATCCCTTTCCCTTTCCCATTTCACTTTCCACTTTCTTCCTCAATCTCTTTTTCACAACAACAGCCCCAATTTCTGATTCATATTTTTTCCTTCTCCAATCGAGAAATTGTGTCTATCTTGACATCACTGCTGTTACTATCAAATTCTTCTTCAAATTGTCTCAACCTTTCGATCAAACTTTCAATTCTTCCCTTCACACAGTTCAATCCTATTCTATTTCTGTTTTGAATTAGTTCAATCTTACATTTTGCGACTGGTCTGATCGTCTCATAATCTTTAAGTGTGCTAGATCGTGTGCCACTTCTTACAATCACTCGTCGTCGTATTCCTTATCAAAGAAAGAGGTATCGAATACAGATCGACAAGATGTCTTCGAACAAGCTCGCGACGTATGCATAGTTTTGTTCTCATCATATTGATTCAATCGAGTATACAGCTAATATTTACTAGTTACGAGACGTACAATGCCGCCGCTTGGTGTGCGGAATCAGAGGCGGGCGATTTTGAAGAAGTGCCTGTGCCGGCAAATAATGTCGAAGTTAGACCTCCTGTCGTCCGACAGGAATTTCCTAGATCGACTTCGGTCATTAGAGGAACTAACACCGGTAGAGGTGGGCGCGGTCGTAGCATTAATAATGCTACCCGCGGTCGTGGTCGTGGCACCGACAGCACCGTTCGTGGACGCGGGCGTGGAACAATTGATGGTGGTAGCGGCCGAAATGGCAGCCACCGCGGTGGCGGAGTCACTCGAGGTAACTCGAGGGGCAATGCTGGCCGTGGCGGGCACCATTCCGTACCCACGGGACGTGGTAACGGTACGTTACACAATTCACGACTATATTGCCATGAAGAATGCTAATAATTATTAGGACGATTGTTCGAGATTGCTCCTCGGGGAGGACATTCTCGCGATGGTACTGGCTCTTCTAGCCACGCACCTTCAGATAACCATCGTGCCGACCAGGAATTACCTCGCCGTCTGGTTAAAAAAGTCAGAGAGCCAGGTCTCAATTCAAGCACTGGTTGGGCCGTCCCAGCTGGTCTCATGACTGAAGCCAAGAAGTTGCAACTTGAGAATGAACAAAGCTCACGCACCAACACAGCACTTTTCTTGGAGAAACCTCTTGACGGAGAGGTATTCTCAGCCGTTGTGAGTCCCATCAATCTATTGCTTCAGTTGGTTGCAAACACTGATTTACTATAGGGATTCTATCAATGGCCAGTGAAGGGAATAAATCCAGAGGATTTGTTTGGCGAACAACTGAAGGACCTTGACCATCTAAAGACCAGTTGGAAAGTCTTTATCCAGTGGAATTGTGCCCGCAGCTGGCTAGCAATCTCTGCATTGCCACCATCCACTCAAACCACCATCATTGAAGTCATTAAAGGTATTCGACAAGCTGCTGATAGTGCCCATACTCGCATTAACATGGAAGAAACTGTTTTTATTGTTGTACCACCACGATTTTCTACTGAGTCTACTCTCCTCGAAGCATCTATCAGCTTTGTTAAAGACCAAAAGCGTGCCTCTGGTATCAAGTTCTCTAAGATGTCTTCCAATGAAGAATTGAACAGACAGACCCCACGTCGCTCGTTAAAGGTAGAAGCCACGGTCGAGAAGTTCCGTACGGTGTTGAGCAAGTATCTTAACGAGCTCACTCATATCAAAGACCGTATGCAGATGCGAGTGCACTTTGGAGAGCTACATCTTACACGCTGGCAAACAGTCCTGATTGATGGCGAGCAAGATTGGGATGCTTTCACGAAGATGATGACTCGTAAAGGAGCTAGGGGCGTATTCGAAAAAGCGTAAGTTTACGGTATACCAGAAGTTTACTCACGAGCTGACATATACTTACTTAGTGTTGATCCTCAAGCTGTCATTCACATGATGGCTGATGTGAAGTCAAAACTTGACAAGTTTATGGTTTGGAGCAGCACGGACTACGACTTGCAGGACGTGAAGCCGAAATTCGTTGCGATCCTCGCCGTACAGAATTCATCAGGCCAGATGTTTGAGATTCAGGCAGACATTGACACGGTCTATGGCGGATATCAATGTGGTGTAGTCAAAGTTGTCGAGGAAGAACGTCGCAACAAGTGCGTAGAGATTGTGACTGTTGACATTGAGTAAGTTGATGATCCTCGACTTCTTGATCACCTACTAATAAAGATAACCATAGACAAGTTGATTGGACCATTGAAATCATCAGTGAGACAGCCGGCACCGTAGTCGACAGCTCATTTCAAGACTTGGTTCAAAGTTGCTTGCAACCATATGTTCGCACGGGATTGAACACTCGAAGAATGGAGGAGCGTAAAGACAAGTATGGATTCGTATATCCTAGAATTACCCCCCGTGTTCAGGCTGGTCTACGTGTCGAGAAGGTTACACTTCAGAGCATCTATAGGTTCAAGACCCAAAAAGGTGGTTACTGCCTTGAATTCACCATCAACAGAAACTGGGATGGTTTAAGCACTGTAGCAGAGCCAGATGTCTGTGCCGGAGTCACAGTTTTTCATGATCTTTGGGATACAGATATGGAAGCAAATGATCACACGACGATGGTCCGCGACTGGCAGAGAGATATGAGTAACTTCTTTCCAGCCGGGGGATTCGAAGATTTTGTTGAAGAGCTCGATGGACTCCTCTTGAGTTTCCATCATTCTATGAACGAAAGCAGAGCTTAACCACCAGATCGATACTACACACCAAGTGCTTTCATAATTTTACTATTCGAATTTACTTGGCAAGTCTCTTCGAAGGAATCACCTCTCCGATCTCACTTTTAAGTTTGATTAAATCAACTCTTTCTTATTTCTTTTTGCTGCCATATTCGAATGAGAGCAATCATCATCGGAATTCCACTCTGCCTAAATACAGCCTGCACTCTACAGCGAATTCTTCAGACTTGGTATTTCCCTCGACTTGACTGATCCGATTTTAGTGGTGTCTCGAACGAATTGAATTCTTTACGAGATTATTTGAGTTTTGGCATTTCATTTTTCTTCTTTCCCATCCATGGCGCAGAGATATCAAGATGTTGAAGCTGAATCAGCACCTGGAGTTGAGCTAAGAACTTTCTGGCGTAAAACTGTACTTAGAGATTAGTCAAAAATTCATTGATTTTGTAGCCAAAATAAAAAGAAGCATACCATCTTCAACCACGCGTAGACTATTTGATTTGTTGTTGACTATAATTTCTAAATCCTTCAAATTGGTTCCAATTTCTTCAACTTTTGCTTCGTAGAATTTGGTTGCATCTTTGGTATTCTAAGGTTTGTGTGTAAGTTTCGAAGCAGTTCAAGGTACATGTGGTTTCTAGAATGGGAAAGAAGTATTATATGAATTGCAAAGGCATAATGAAGGAAGAAGGATAATGGAGAAAAGAACAATGGTACCTTTTCAACATAGAAACCAGTTCCGACATCTACAATTACATTCTCGGTATCTGCTAATTCGCCGGGAACGTAGAGGGATGTTGTGAGAGGTACGAGAATTGGTTTGCCTATTGGAATGGGAGGGATTGTTAGCTTAGTATAGTATGGGTGGGAGCTCGGCTTGTGGAAACTCGAGTGCAAGGAGAGATGAGGGGGGAGAGAGAAAGTGCTAAGCTATTTGATTGGTGGGAAGGGGAGATGCAGAGAAGTAGGTACGTAGATAAGGTGCATGTCCAAACTTTTGAGCAGTGGGCTACTATGGGCAAGAGATATCTGAGGCGATTGAGGGTAGAGAGGAGAAGAGTAGAAATATAAGAAGCTGCGCGAGGTATCCTGCTCGTCTCTTCAACCGTGAGACTGGCAAGGCTTCTTCGCCATTTCTGAAATCGCAGAGCTTCTCAAGCCCTTTTGTTCCCCTTCGATATTTCCTTCTTCCTTCCTCCAAGCTCAATCTCTCCAGCTCCTGTTCGTAGACTCGCTTTCCTCTTTCCATTTCCCACCCTTTCATTCCTCCTATTTCCCCCTCGCAACGAATAAATGAAGGAAACCACAAACAAACTTACCCTCAACAGCCTTTCCAACACCGGTACCAATACTTCTCAGACATTCTCTAAATTTACTCTGCGCAGCGCGAAGTTGTTGGAAGGAAGAGGTGAGATGTTCGAGTTCGTCGTCGAGTTGTTTCTTGACTTGGGATAATTGGGCGGTAGTGAGGGAGGTGAGATCGACTGTTGTTTGTTAGGTTTTTGGTCTGGAAGTTTGGAGGAGAGAGGGGGAAAGGAGCGGGAGAGAGCATTGCAGAGGGGAGAAGAAGAGGGGAGCAAACGAACTTTGTTGGCCTTTTTGCGCCATTTTTACGGGTTCTTTTGGGAGGGCAGAAGGGAAATTTAAGAAAAAGGAAGCAGCAATGTATGCGGATAGTAGATGGCGGAGTTTGAGAGCTTCAAGTGCGAAATGAGTGGTGGGATGGAGACTATCAATTTATTTTGAGACGAGGAGATGGATGGAGCTTTATGAGGTGAGGTTTGTGATTAGTCAGCTACGTGCCCCGCGGTGTGGTGAGTGGATGTTGAACGACAATATAAATTAAGTCTCCTCTGTAGATTTACATGATTGAGTATTGGACTGGATGGGATGATGAGTGTTTATGGTAATAAAACCAAGTGGTTGTATCTGGTGCGGGTGATGAAATATGGAATTGGTATTATTCTCTAAGAAAACATTGATTTATGTGCTTTGGGAATTTCATCTGCCCTGGAAGAAAATACTCGCTGTCATTAATGGCAAAGTTATGATGTTTACTGTCCATTCCGTGTTAAGCTCTCTCAGAGTGTTAACTGTTGGACGCTCATGTAAGCCTTTCGTCAAAAGATGAAGGTGCAATATGGCAAAGTACATCACGGATTCTCAAGCTGAAGGGCAAGAACTTATTCCAGTGGTCTAATATTCGTTGCCATGAGATCTTGGTTGTTTTTAGTGACTGGAACGAAGAGGGATTAGTCTTATCAATATTTGGTCTGCGGTCTAGTCTGTTCTGGAAGATTGAGTACAATTGGAAAGTTTTGGTGTCTTTCATACTTCATCATGGCTCATTTCATCTGCGGAGAGCTACACTTAGTCGCAATTTCTTCTTCTTTCAGTATTTCATGAAGATAAAAGATAGAGAATGATTGCAATGCTTCTCCAATATTGTGGCTTTTGATGAGCCATCTACCTTATATTCTTTCTTGACAAAGCTCTGTTTAGAAAATTCAGCCAGAACAGAAGGATGCTAGAGAGCCGTTCACCCTCGCTGTTTTACATGCTGGTAGGAAAACGGTGTGATATTGTTCACGTGGAAACTCGTCATTCCCAAGCTTCCAAGAAAGATCTGGATCTTTGGATTCCTTTCACCGGGTATTAAAACCTATATGTGTTGAGCTCATGAGCCTGTGGGTACAACCGATACAAACCTTCAAAAACAGCTCGAGCAATAATTTACCCTGACAAGATTCAGATATAAGAATGATGAATAACTTCCCGACCTAAATCAAATTCGTGCACCGAGAAAGAGGAGAGTGGAAATGTAGAGTATTTAGTTTTTTGAATGTGAATCTCGACGCATCTCCACCAACCCTGTCCTTCTCCCATGGTCCCTCTCTCCCTATCCTCTTTCTTTGATCTAGGCTTGCGACCTTTCTCCCCAATTCCTCGAGTTCCAAGTTCCACGTGTGACATAGCCTCTAACCTCTCTCACGCAAACCTTTAAATGCAAGCCCCCCTTGCCTAATAACCTTAACAAAGATATCAGTCCCACAACTCCTCTTCCAGATACATGCACATACAAGAACGAGATCTTACTCTCCAAAAATATACATACATACATGTCATGTAGCATCCTCTCTCCTCTCCAGCTTAACCTAACCCAACACAACCCATTTCAACCGCACCTGCAACGAAACTCATAAAAAAGGAGTCGAATAGGAACATAACTGAATTCAGTCTTCCGTAACTAAATCACTACACATCCTCCCATCCACACCAATTACACAATAGATCAAATCAATAAACCAAATGAATCCGATCTCCCACCTAATAATAGAACCCAGAAGTAGAGTGGATATATAGACCAAACACTGTCTATCTATCTACCGTATGAGTATTGTGGCGCGCGGTCGGGAGGGGGATGGAGGAAGATATTTAGAATCCATGAGTAAACGATTCTCCATAACTATAACATATGGATCTCCACCCTACATTAGAGTAGCTCTGCATCATTAGACACATTTTGATAAGATCCATACGCAAATAGATAGGAATACAATCCTCTATATACATATCCTACACGTCTTCACTTCACACCACAGCAGCTCAGAATCCTCAGATCACTCCAAATAAAAAGCAATCACAATGAAACATAATGACTCCATAGATCCACCATTCTCAGAGAGAAACAACGATTCATCTCTTTCATCTTAGACTTTACAACTTGCATCTTTCATCATTACTCACACAAATGTAAACATAAACACAACTGATCATTCACAAATTGTACATCCAACCGCGAGAATAAGAATGAAAGAGATGGACTAATACAACATGTTATGCACAACGCAAAAATCAAAATCAAAACCTAAACTTCAGCTAGCTTATCACACCATCCCCAGCATTCTCACCACATGAGAATGTCCATCTTTCATACTCAAGCATCTTCAAAACTCAAATCAAATCAAATCAAATCAAGCATATCATTATCCAACACCACTTCCTCTCCACCAATAAACATTCCCTTCTCTCCCACCCTCTTACCCTCATCTCCATCCCCATCCCATCCCCATCCCATTCCCATACCCAGCCAAAGTTAATCCAACCAACTAACTCCCTACTCATCATTCCAATCTTCAATCAATCTTAAATTCATCTTCATCCCCATCCATCTCCACCTTCATCTTCATCTTCATCCACCCATCTCCATCACACATGTGAAAAAAAATCCACGCTCATATGTAATTTACTCCAATACTTATCTCTAGAAGAAAAACTCCTTATGTCACATCACGTCACATACATCACACACATCACACACATCACACACATCTCACTCTCACTCTCACTCTCACTCTCACTCTCACTCTCACTCTCACTCTCACTCTCACTCTCACTCTCACTCTCACTCTCACTCTCACTCTCACTCTCACTCTCACTCTCACTCTCACTCTCAATCTCAATCTCATTCTCATTCAATCATTCACTCATACCCATATCCATATCCATATCCATATCCATATCCATATCCCGATTTTCTTTCCTTTTTCTCAAAGTTTATCTGTCATCACATTACATCACATCAATCATCTCTACTCTATTCTTCATCTCTAACTACATACTGCCTTTCCTTGGCCTGTATAGAATAGCATAGCAAGCATAACACTATTACCAAGATACCCCCTCTTCAAATCAAATCAAATCGACTCATCTCATCTATCCATTGCCCCATCACACTACACCACACAACACCACGCAATCCAATCTCGTAATCACACATAAAAGTTGTATCTAGATAGATTGACTAGAATTCCAAGTTTCACTAGAAATACAAATCCCACACGTGGGTGGGCCCTCTCAAAGGATTCACTACCCCAGTACTCCTCCCCTCTATTTAATTCTACTCTACCCAACACTCTTGATAACAAGCTCCTTATACATAGCTTTGATATCCTCCACATCCCCTCTCAATTCATTAACCTCCTCGCTCTTCTCCCCCAACAATTCAAGCGTGACTTCATACCTCTCCTTAACCCCCTTGATCTCTTCCTCCAACGCCTCGACTTTCTCCTCTAATCCCCTCTTAACTTCGACTTCCTTCATCAGCGCTACAATCTCTGTTCTCGCTTCATCTCTCTGAGCAATTAATCTAGCAACCTCCTCTTTCGTCGCCACTTTTTCACTCTCCAATTTTCTTACCGCGGAACTCATTCTCTCAACCAATTGGACTGTTGGACCGGCACCAGCAGTCGAAGTCGAAATGATATCATGAATAGTTTGTTGAGGAGAAGAAGAACGATGGGTATCAAAGAAATCATCATGATCCAACGTATGAAGACTTGGAGTTTGTGGTTTAAATTCACTTCCACCCGTCCCATTAGTTGCAATAGAATTTAATGAAAAAGAATGCGTCAAAGAAGCCGTAGAGTCATGTCTGACCGGAGTTCCCGGATCTGGCGATTTCGATGTTGGCTGTCCAGATTGACGACGTCCTACGAATCTTTCTGATGTTACCAAGTCACCAGTTGTAGATCTAGCTGATGGTCTTCTTGATTGCATATTTTGTAGACCCAGGTATTCCGATGTCAAGCCTCTTCGACTTGATGCTACGGGTGACTCTCCACCTCCACGACCATTAAGAGAGACTTCTTCCAGCCATTTCTGTTTTTCTTCTAATAGTCGTTGTTGCATCTCAGAGTTCCATGTCTGCTTCTCATCCTCAAATTCGGCTTTAGCTGAAACCAATGCAGATTCTGCTTCTTCAACACGCTTTTTGAGATCATCTAATTGAGCAGTCCGTTGGGAAAGTTCTTGTTGAAAGTTAGGTAATTTCGACCTAGTTTCTTCCAATTCATCTTCATTACGTTTCGCTTTGAGTGTCTAGATTTGATTAGTTATATTTCACGGCAATATTCACTGCAACAATTGAACGCTAGTACATACCAATTCACGAGCTTTTCGCCTAACATCAGCTTCTCGCTTAGTCGCCTCATCCCTCTCTTTTTCTAAGCTAGTTGCACGTGCCGTCAATGAAGCTTCAATACCTTGCCAATTCTCACTGGCAACGGCATATTGTGTTTGTAAAGTCTCGATCTGACGTAAAAGTTTCGCTTGTGCATCACCAGTTGCACCAGTTGAAACTTCCTCAGCTCTCGCTCTCATCATCTCTAATTTACTCTCCAACATTTGTTGTTCATTTTTCATTTCAAGAGCTGCAATGCGAGCATTTTCAGCCTCTCTATCCATCTTCTCTCTGAGCTCTTTAATCTGTATTTGTGCTCTATCATTGACGAGTTGCTTCTCGATTTTGAGATTGGAAATATCATCCTCCAATTCAGCAACACGTTTCTTCTCGGCTTGCAAGGCCTCATTGGCGACTTTTGCTTCTGCTTCTTTCTCTTCAGCAGCGTCATTTTCGAGTTGTTCTTTGAGGTTGGCGATGACGGTATCCTTGGTATCCCGCTCAATCTTCACCGCGTCGAGTTCCTTTCTGAGTCGATTGATTACATTATTCCTTTCACTGAGACTCTTCTCAGCGCCCTCGGCTCGTTTCAAGCGCTCTGCCAGAGATGCAGCTTCCTTTTCGGCCTTTTCTTGTCTCTTTTTGATTTCCACAACTTCTTTATTATCCTCGAGAATTTTGGCACGGAGTTTTTTAATAGTGGTCATATGAGTTAGTTCTTTCTTAGACAAAGCCTGACCTTCTTCCATGAGTAAAATGACTTGCTGTTCTTTCTCGGCCAATTTTTTCTCCAGACTTCCAGGTGGTGCAGCAGTCTTGGCATTGTTAGCTGACTCTAGACTTTCTTTTGCTAAGTATTTTAGTTTTGCCTGAAGCGCATCAACGCGCTCTATGTAACCATGAATTTCCTCTTGCCTTTGTAATTCTGAGGTTTCATAGTCTGATTGTAATTGAATAAGAGCTGCCTCGAGTTGCGCTGGACTTTTTGATGTCGAAACCGCATCAGTTGCTGGAGTAGTTGTGGTTGGTTCGTCGAGAGATGAACTGACTATAGTATCATTTTGTGGAATAGAGTCAATAGATGCCCTAGGTATACTAGAGGTGGTGGAATCTGTTGACAAACGAGACGTGGGTTCGGCTTCCAAGGCAACAACTACATTGGGTGATGCTTGCTGCGGTTCTGTAGTTGTCTCTGGAGTTGGTTCGACGACTGGAGTACTCGATTGAACCTCCACCGTAGGTACCGCAGGTGCATCTGAATCAATGGTACTCGCGACTGTAGTGGACCCAAGGTCTTGAGAAATTGGGTTCGTAGCCTCATCTCCTCCTAGATTAGAAGTCGCATCTGAACTCTGCCTTGGACTTTCCCCGACCGTAATTGGACTTCCAGTCCTCGAAGGAACATTCGAAGAAGTTGATTGTGTGCCAGCCTTCTGTGCATTTTTTGCAGCTACTGCCCTTGCCAGACGTTCTTGTAATCGATCGTTTGTTCTATTACTACTATTTGATGCGCTTCGAGAAATTGCTTGAGGAACGGTCAGATCAATGCGGATCCCAAGGACTTTGAATGAATTTACATACCTGCCTCTGTTTTTGCAGCACTTGTATTGCCAGCTGCAGGAGTTGGTTTGTTTGCTTGACCTTCCTGTCCTTCTGCCAATAAAATATCCAACCTTGATTCCAATCCTCCTACTGCTTGTGACAAGAACCCCCATCTCGAGGAACCTTGTTTCGCCGGACTCGTCATGATTTCTCAATCTTCCGAATTGAAACACGTTGCTTCCGTTGATTGTTGAATATGATCAGATCATACATTGCATTTCATGACCCAGAAATCGGAAATGGTTGTAGCCTCGTAGGACAAAATAGTTTTTGGAATTTGATTTTAGGAAATTTAACTCCCAGCAGCCCTTGGATTGGATGGATAATATTGCGAAATATATCTTGGGTATCTTCGCATATTTATCCGTGAGAAGAAAAAGTACGTATACTTCATTAAAGTGTATACTCACTTTGAATCTTGCTTGCGTATTGCCGTGGCTGAGACTCTTCCCTTGATACTGGACACGATTTGATTATCCAACCAATCATCATTGCGAAATAACCCTGTTGGATCTGCGCAAGGCTGGCAATGACATTTCTGGGCAAGGCAAGGCTAGAATTTCGTGGGGGTCGGGGTTATATCTTTCATTGGTCTCATCAGAACCGGTCGGTGGATATTTGAATTCAAATTGAATTTAGATCCAAGAAAAGAAAAGAAAAGAAAAGAGAAGAAATCGTTAACGACAAAAACAATACTGTTTCATTAATCAATATCAAAAGTTTGAGGTTGATAATAATTCATATTCTATGAGAAAGGAAAGGGTATCAATATTCATGCTGCTATGCCGTCAATGAGACAGCCATCATCTGCTCATACTCGATTCCACACTCTATTCTAACATTATTTTAGAGAGGTACAGTATTCTTGACCTGGATACATAACCAACCATCACCAATACCTTTTTTCAAACCGATTTTCTAGACTCATCTTTTGTATGTCCGTTCCTTGCTCCATTCGAAATCTTGCTATGCTCAGGGCGTGGAATAACTTCCGGAAGACTGAAGTAATGTGGCCAATGCAAAACATAATCATCCTGTCTGTCATTCAAACAATGTCGTAGCCAAATACCCCAGACCAAGTAGAAGTATGATCCAATGCCCGTCATCAAGTGCCACCAGCCATGTCCTTCGAGTAACAATCCCCATGGGAGTCCAATTTCATGTCTCCATTGTCTGACCGTCGAGCAATAATGATTGTCCAAAGACCATATACCAAAACCACCCAGAAAGATGGAAAGACCTAAGCCAACCATCAACCACATTTCTTTGAGAATTTCATATTGTCTCTTTTCATTTGCTAGACGATCGGAATGAGAAGTATCAGGATGTTCGTGAGAAAGTTCTGTGGTAGCATATTTCTTTCGAAGAGAAGGACGTATGTTCACTTCCATCACATACATGGAACGGAATAGTACGGTAGCTGTGAGAAGCGCAAATGCATTCTGATGGAAATCCGGGTCTTGAAGGTAATGATAGTAAAGCTATTGATAAGTTTGCTTTAGCATGGAAGCGTGAAGAATCTGAGGACGAATCTATGCTCACCGTTATGAATACAGACAAGAATATCAAGCTGAATGCTAATACTTGTCTGAAGATGCGGGATTGAGAGAAGGAGAAAGTCGCATAACACATCAAGCATGTAGTATAAATCATGGAAAGTTCATCTACAAGTTGCATGGGATCTGAAGCATCATCATGTCAACAATTGAATACTTTCATAGGATAAATGTAACTTACACTTCAAGGTTGAATGAAACAAGAATGACCCTTTAGCCATATTAGCTTGACTTCATGTCAAGATCAATCAACTCGCTCACCTGTTCCTACAGCTCCATAACCTAGAAAGGCCACCAAAAATACACTGTCATGATCGTATTTCAAACAATTCCGACTTCCCTTGATGCACAGCCATATGAAAAGTAGGTTGGTAAGGGTATTGACGATTTCGGCAGAGTATATAGTGGCATAATAATCCTCTATCATTCAAGGTTAGATGAGAGTAAGTAAAGACTGAGTGTGGGAGGTATTGCCTTCACACCAATTTATGGTCGAGGTTACAGGAGCCCAGTAACCTTCTTCTGGTCGCGCGGGAGGATATGGTATCGACGGGAGATGGAAACCCATTGTGACAATCACAGAGGAGGGGGTTTGTGTGTGGTGATCGCTCGTCGTGAGAGGATATATGTCCAAGATCCAAGATGCAATATCCAATATCCAATGGTTGATCGCACAAAGGCGGGGGAGGGGTCTTTGATTTGATATTGCAGCGATGAGAGACAATAATGATGGACTGAACTGAACTGAACTGAACTGAACAATGAACTATCAAAAAGATTGAAAATATCTAGATTGGTCTAAGACACACACACACATTGGATAAGATTTCTTTTAACTTTGAACTTAAAGTACCAGTCTATTCTCCTCCAGGTACTGACTGATGAAGTGTGTCAGGAAGTGAAGGGCCGACCCTTGCCGGATGGGAGAAATGCTTAAAAATGCAAATCGTCATTCCAGTCAAGGTGGATCAAATACGATGATTTCGAGCTTTCTGGACCGGAAGCTACGGGAACTAGATTGATAGAAAGGGTTGAGGACCTGAGGTTAACCTTATTGGAAGAGATATTTCGTATTGTTACATGTCTAGCATACAATAGCACGTGAAGAGGTAATTGATCAATCCACCAGATCATGAGAGAGAAGAAGTAAGACCTAGGTCGTCTATTGGCTATACATGGAGAGCAAGGTATAAAATGGTTATTGTTTGACCTATGGACTATATATACATATATACTTAGGTATATTGTCGATGCTGACTATGATCTACATGTTACCTTCATAGTAGAATGTCCAGATAGCTCTCTTCTTGTATACATTCATACATTCATGCTTTAGATGATCATATTCCATATTCATGTATGTTTTTAGAGAAACGCGAGTCAGATCAATGGTGAAGTACAATAACCGAGGTATCAAATACATGTATGTACTGTACGTACTCAGGTATATACCTGTTCCAAAGGTTGGTCTTACAATCGATCTCAATATATACTGATCCCCTTGATAGAGATATTCTCGCCTAGTACCTCAAAACATCTATTCTGCCATCAACTTCATCCTTCACCGCCTTGCTTATCGCTGTCCCTTATCAGTAAACCACATGATATTTTTGAAAATAATTCCCCACGCATATTGAAACAAGCAGACCGTGTAGCTACCAGTATTCAACGAAGCCAATATATCGAGGGAAACTGTGAAGAATCAGACACATTCTTAAACTTAAATCCAACTCTTTGACACCCACTTCTATACACATACATACATATTATACAAAGATGTCTATCTCCAACGAAGCTTTACAAAAGGTAAAACTCAAGAAGACAGAGTCCATTCCATTCCATTCCATTCCAGCCTCCTCCCCCTCCCGTTCCCTCCAAAACCTTGCTATATCAAACTCAAAAGAGGACATCACTAATATTCCCACAGCTGGTCAACGAAATTCAATCTCAAGCCATTCAAGCCGAGCAACAAATCAGCGTCGTTAAATCTCAAATTTCCCTCAAGCAACGCGAAATCCGTAAACTCCAACTCACATCCACCGAAGTATCCACGTTACCACCTGACACCAATGTATATGAAGGAGTTGGTAAAATGTATTTATATTCCTTCTACTTATGTTTCTGTTTCCGTTTCTTTCCAACTTTCATCTCCACCCGTTCTTTCTCTTACTTCAAGTCATTTTTGATTTTTTTTTCTTGTTTGTTGGAACACATGATCACTTCACCAGATATAACAAACAAGCATTAATGATTGGATAGGTTTGTTTTCAGCCCTACAGCTGATGTAGACAAGAGATTAAATCGCGAGACTAAAGACTTGAAATCCGATATTGATAATTTGGGCAAGAAATTACAGTATTTAGAAACGACGTATGAGAAGAGTACGGAGAATATTACGAGGATTCTTCAAAGTGGTGGTCGTGCTTGATGGAAAGTATCATACATGTTGGATGCTTCCTCGAGGAGGCATTTGCATTTTAGAGTTTATGAACAAGCTGTGATCGGTATGATAGTCGGCTCTCGTTAATGACCGGGTAGTTTCCCTGGAAGGATTTGGCTTGGGATGGATGATTGACTGACTGATAGTGGGATTTGGGATTTGAGGGTGTGGGGAGAGGGAATATAAATTGTGGGAAGGAGTCATCTGAACTCCTGAGTCTTTAGAGACATGCCGTAAAAACAAACAAGCTCAAAAACTTCACATCACACGTTTCCTATCTATTGAACGATAGTTTATGGTGTATGACTGAACCTCTTTCACTTCACCTAGGAGGAGCGAACAAGAGTGACGTGATGTTAGATGTGCTCGAGTAAGTGGGATATAAAGTTGTTGAATTGATACGGGTAACTACTTACTAGGTAGTATTCAGTGTCATGTGAAGAGATGATATGAAATACAAGATCAGCTCTGGTGAATGTTATTCGTTGGCATTGTCATACACGGACGGATGTCAAGATAGATTGAGCCACAGGTCCTACCATAGAAGCCATCCTCAAGTTTCAATCTTTCGAGCACTAATTTCTACCTACTCTTTCATCATAACTCATCATCCAATAATTCAAAATCCGACAGTAAGGTGTATACCTCGATTCTACACCTTCCTACTCCAAAGTTGGGGGCTAAAAAGCCCAAAGCGAATGAAATCTAAGCGCTAACCCAACCCCTCCCCTTTTCCCAATCCCTCTTTTTCGAATGCCCAATCTGTACACCATCCTCATCTCATCGCATCTCATCTCAAACAGCGTATCGCGAAGCCACCAACCCAACAACAATTTGTATATCATTTGTTTTCCCCATTGTTTCTCTCCATCCATTACTTTCCCTTCATACACATCCGGATTCTTCACAAACCAACGAACCACAATTCCACGTAAAACCTAAAACGCTTCTTCCAACGTTCGGTTACATTACAGTGGGGAAACATCCTTCAGAGCCTCAAGTGATCAAAAGTCTAAACTCCTCGATCATAGTGTTACAATGAGCCTAATCCAATCTCACCTCAAGCATTAGCATTGACATTAGCACGCGCACTTGTACCTACTTCTCTGTTAACAACTTAACACCCTACAATACCAAGCATATCGTCTATCCCTACCCACCAATCCATCATCACCATAGGATCAATTTACGATAGCTAAATTGGATTCGATGGTTTAGCTGCTTAGCTGCATATAATTGACTTCAAAGATGCAGTAGCGCAACAGTGTCCCCACTAATACCGTTAGGGCTGTACGTACAAGAATACATGGGATAGCTAACAGGAGTGAGAATTGCTCTACGATATCTGAACCATGGTAGGTATACTTGGAGAGAAACTCAGGGTATTCTACAAACCCGTTCGTGGTCATTCATTTTTGTAAATAATAATACTCATAAATGATCCAGAGATAAATCCTAGGTATATATAACAATCCAGTAAAACGTGAATTCAATACAGGGGAAAAGCAACCATAACCACCAGTCCAAGTAAATCAGTCATTCAGCCGCTCCTCGGAGGGAAGTGAGGGGGGATTTTCAACCACACCTAGGTATACACCTTAAATAAATGCAGATGCAGTAATTCCGCCAAACTCTGATCCAGTAAAAGACTCTTAAATAAGCCCATGCCCATTCCTGCTGACAAGACACCCGCTTGATTTCTTTTCCTGTCTTTTCTGCCTACGACTACTACTTCCTTCCTTCCTTCCTTCTTCTCTTCACTTCTCTTCTCTTCAATATACTAGACATCTAGTAGTTCCGTCCAAACTTCAAAAAACCCGCAGAGGGATATCCTACTGAAGATCCCCAAACGAAAAGCTCTATTTGAAGGACAAAGCAACTAGCAAGAAAGAGACGGGACTTCAAAAAGCTTATCGAACCACATTTCATCCTATCTCAACGTCGCAATCAACAGATCCCAACCCCTCGGTCGCTTCATCGCGGGGTCAGGCCGATCAACCAATCAACTAACCCATCTCCCCAGAATTCAAATCACTGTTCGAAAAATCGCATAGCATATATATCAACTTACTATTTCGAGTATTGTCTCCACATCAAGAGAATTCTACTTTTCTTTTTTAATTTTCACTCCCAAAATTAAATAAAAGAAGGAAAGAGAGAAACATAAAAAATGGCACGACACTACTACGACGACGAAGAACTCGACATCCACATTTCCCGCGAAACACGGAACCGCGACCCGGCCCCGATCCCCTACCGACGACCGCAATACCCACCCGTCCCCGCCTACCGCTACGGCACGAGCACCTACCTCACGCCCGAGATCTCCTCTGGAATCCGGCGCTCCAGATCAACCGGCAATCGGGAGCGCTCTCCCGTTTCTCCCCCTCCCCCCGCCGCCCCCGCTCCAGTCGCTCAACCAATCATCGTCGATAATTCCCGCCGCATTTACAACGACTACGACAGCGACAGCGACAGCGACTCCTCTTCCGCCTACGAATCCCGACGCGCGCGAAGCCGCTTGAGCGTTGGGGAAGTAGGAGGGCGACGCAAACATCGCAGTCGCAGCCACAGTCGTCATGTGAGTCTTTCACACAGCCATAGTCCGTCATCCTCCGGACGACCGAGCTTCACGCGCGATGATTTTGAATTGGAGCGTACGCGCGCGGAGCTCGAGCGAATTAGGCTGGAGAAGGAGAGGGAGAGAAGTGACAGATTGGTTCGGGATGGGGGGGAGCTGGCTCGGTATAGAGCGGAGAGTGAGAGGGAGAGAAATGAAAGATTGTTGCGCGAGGATATCGAATTGCGCATGACGAAGGGGGAGCTAGAACGGTACAAGTCCGAGCGGGAGCGCGAGCGCGAGAGAGAGAAGACCGAGAGGTTGTTGAGAGAAGATGTGGAGCTGCGCATGACGAAAGGAGAATTGGAGCGCATCCGATCCGAGAAAGAGATGGAGAAGAAAGAACGCATGTTGCGGGAAGAATTTGAACTGCTGTCTCTCAAGGAAGAAAAGAAGCGCATGGAGAAGGAGAAGCGCACGCAGGAAGAAAGGGAGCGGGCTGATAAGGAAATTCGTGATACATACGAGCGTATGAAGCGAATGGAACAGGAGCGACACGCTCGCGAGAAAAAAGAACACGATGAAGCCATCGAGAAATACAAGCGAGAAGAAGCCGAGAAGGCGGCTCGCGAGCGCAAGGAACGGGAAGAAATCATCGAGAAGTTCAAGAAGCAGGAAGCGGATCGTTTGGCTCGTGAGAGACACGAGAGGGAAGAGAGAGAAAAGGAATACCAGAGACGTCTGCATGAAGATCTGCATAAAGCGGGTTTGAACGAACAACAAATCGGAGCGGTGAAAGCTGGAAAGGCTCTCCCGCCTCCACAGGTTCAGATGCCTCCGCCGCCAGCAGTCCAACATCCTCCACAGTATCAAATCCAACCTGCGGCTCCGAGACCAACGTATACGAGAATGTCGAGGAAGCATTTATCGATTGAAACTCTGAGGGTTTATGGTATTTCGTATGAATTTGATAAAGAGGTATTGACCCCAATTTCCTTCCTTTGTTCCCTTTCCCTTCTATTTCCCCCTTTCTCTTTTCTCCTTCCCTTCTTCCCCCCCCCCTCCCCCTTCACCCGCCACCAAAAAAACACTCACTAACCCCCCCTCCCATCCAACCAGGACCCCGAATTCCTCCTCATCAAACGCTGGGTCCCCGAAGAAGAACAAGACATACTCTGGACACACACCCGTCAACTGCGCGAAACACGTGTTCCAGCTCACGCCCACAATCAACAACACACCATCGAATACGTCAAGGAATACGTCGTGGAGGATCGTCATAAGAAGAAACATCATCACAAGGGTGATGATTTGCAATTGGTGATTGAGAGAAAGCATAAGCATAGTCATAGTCATAGCGGGAGTAGAAGTCCGAGTCCTTTTGTTAGGTGGGTGGCTGGGAGGTAAGGTGGAAGGGGAGGGGATCGTGAGGGGGATGTGGAATGAGAAATTGATGATGTGATGGTTGGATGAAGAATGATGATGAAAGACGATTGATGAATACATGGAGTGGATTGGTTAATGAGTCTGTTTTGCTTTGACGATTTTCTTGAACTTTTTTTCTTTCTTAGATGAACTCTCATCTCTTTTTTGTGTGCTGAGCTTCTATACCCACGACATGGATCGTTATCAACGATAATTTATTTTGAATAATAAAAAACAGTCAAGCAAAATATGCAAAACATGCAAAAGTGATGTTAGTATCATGACTCCAAGTTTCAGAGGGGTATTGAAAAGTAGTAATACAAGTCAAATGGTGTGAGTAGCGAGTCCGTCTATACTCCTCCACATTTCTCTCCTTCATCAAACAACCAACTCTTGCTCGCCCTTCAAAACCGACTCGGCCCTCCTAATAAGCTCTTCATAAATGGTCCAAGCCAAAGCGGAACTAACAGCCTTTCTCCCCATCCTCAACCCCAATCCATCAAAAAGACTCTTTACCCCCTCCTCCCCCACCATCTTCTTCCCCGCCATAACCAAATTTGTATATTTTTTCGGCTGCAATTGAATCCTCGTTTTGATCGCATCAAAAGGATTCGTAATCGCCGTCGCCAGCCCTGCTGCCAATACTCCCGATCCAAAATTGATAGAAGCGCTTGTACTCCCCTTCATATTTTTGCTCAACCCCAAATCCACCTTTTCAGCCAACCCCTCAACTTGAGGCGACGAATGCACAATATGGCTCAACCTCTTCTTAAACTCTTCATAAAACAACACGTATAATCCCGCATACGGAGCATCCCTGATAGCCGTGGCACCAAACCCCGAGAAAAATCCTCGAAATCCTTCCGTGAGAAATATATCTCGTCCGGCACCCACAATCGATTTGTATGCATACAAATTCGATTCATATCTTACTTTAATAATCGTCATCGGCATGAGAATAAAGCCTGCGCCCGCTCTCGCCACAGCTCCCGTAGTCAAATTCGCTAGATTCGATAACTTGGGTAGACTGGATGAATGTGCCATGCTCTTCTGTTCCACGACCCCAATCGTCCGGAGCAAATTTGATCTTGCGACATTCTGTCGCAGAGCATTTAAACTGGTGAAGTAAATGGCGGAACCGAATCCGGTGCGGAGAGCAGAGGGAACGGTTCCCCGCCAAAAAGACCGGATGCTATTTGGTGACTGCGAGAGCTCGCGAATGGTGGTGTAGAGAGAGGCATGGTTACTTTGCTGCACGCGGGTTTTGAGAAGATCGGCGGGTTGGAGAAGAACTGCGGACAGAATTCCCGATCCTAATCCTGCTCCGAAGTGGAAGTCTGGAAGAGGAGTATGATGTTAGTCTTATGTTCTTACTGAATTGAATTGGCCTGTAAGTAGAATGTTTTTGAAGTGGCGGGGCAAATATATCCTAGCTAGACAAATACACACAAGAAGAGGATTTTTTCCCAGCATTTCCTCCACTTGACATTTCGCTTTCCTAAATTTATAATGGCATTTCGGTTGCTAATTGATGAAGGAATTGGATTCTTTTATGAATCCAGAAGTTGCTCACGTCAGGTTGCAGTATTGTGAGAGTGTAAGGGTTTTTGGGGTTGTTCAAAAAATGTTTTGTTAAAAGTTCGGGCGCTTTGATTTCTTTGATGGACGTCATTTTCTCGGAATTCCGCATGGGAATGGGGGGGGGGGGGTCTAATCAATTTGGGTGGTGATGAAGTAAGTACTAGGTATATATCACAATGGTTTCACGCGATAATAGGATATCAAGTGAAGGTATTGGATATGTATACACTTATTTATCATTGAGATAGAATACTGATGTTATACATGATAGTCTAAAGTATACAGATAACAATTGTCAGACTGAATGATAATGTTTCATCTGAAATCACAATCCCACTTTCCCGTCTTGACTGTAATCCGTTTCCATCCCATCAGAAGCTTCATCGTTTGTCAGCAGTATCGACCAATATCAATCTCAATATCACTTCACACTTCCAAAGTCCCTCTTCTCAAGAACACTAGATCTCTCACCAATTCCTCTTTGTATCATTCGAATAAGTCTTTCAAAATGGATCAAGATCAAAATTCAGAAACTATCATTGTAAGATATCATCCCATCGCCATAGACACACTACTAACTCTCTCCAGGCAATAGGACAATTATGTTCCACAGCAGACATTCAACAAAATCTTCTTACATGTCAAAAACTTGCCAAAGAAGCCTCAGAGCAAGGAGCAAAAGTTTGTTTTTACCTTTCCTTTGCTCCAAGTACCCGATCCTCAAATCTCTATGACCACCATCTCAACTCATCTCACACCAACTCCTAGGCACTCTTCCTTCCTGAAGCTACAGACTACATAACCACACCCGGCTCACCACCTACCTCCCTTTCCCTAGCTCTCCCTATGACCACATCCCCCTTCGTTCTTGGTCTCCAATCCTCTGCTAAGGAATATTCCCTAGCCATAAACGTCGGGATCCACGTACCAAATGCTTCTGGTAACAAGGTACTTAATCGATCAATTTGGATTTCTGAGTCTGGAGACATAGTGGGACAATATGATAAAGTCCACCTCTTTGATTATGCAGCTGCGGGGTTGAAGGAAAGTGATAGTGTGGAAGCTGGAAAGAAGGTTGGAGGACCGGTTGAGACGTGTGTGGGTAATGTGGGATTATTGATCTGCTTTGATGTAAGTTATACTTTTTTGGTTGTTTCGTGGACTCGAGTTTGCATGATTTTGAGTGAAGGATTGGAAAAGGAGATATCGTAGTTGATATCATCATGTGAAACGATCTTCGATACCAAGTTGGCTCTTCCGTTTCTTTCTCTTCTCCTGATCATTTTCTTCCCTTTCTTAAGCCATGCCACATTCAAACCCGTCCCCCGTGACTTCAACCCAAAAATAACACCTCTTCTCCGTTCATAGCTCCGTTTTCCCACTGCCTCCCTCCATCTCCGTACTCAAAACACCCAAATCCTCACCTATCCCTCCGCCTTCACCATCCCCACCGGTCTCTTACATTGGGAAACTCTTCTCCGCGCCCGAGCAATCGAAACCCAATCTTATGTCATCGCCGCCGCGCAAGTCGGTTCTCATAACGCCAAACGGGAAAGTTACGGACATAGTATGGTTGTTAATCCATTGGGGAGAGTTGTGCTGGATATGGGGGGTGCGGGGGATGCGGAAGGAGAAGAGAGCCCTCTTGCAAGCGGGAAATTGGGAATTGCGAGGATAGATTTGGGGAGAGTGAGGGAAGCGAGGGAAAAGATGCCGTTGATGGCTAGAACGTGAGTAATTTTTCTATTTTCAATTTATTCGGGTGGTTGCTGATAGATTGACTTAGTGATGTTTATGAGTGAGAAATGTGAAGTCAACAACCAGTAATGAACAGCCAACAATAGAATATAGACGGTATATAATAGACATAAATTTCAATATGATCATCTAAAAATGTACACCGTTTTCTTTTCCCCTACCATAAAATCCTTTTGATGCAAAGTAGTTGATATCTATGCCAACTAATCCTGTCCATTGTTGAACCCCGTTTTTGATGACCCATTTTCCGAACGTATATGCTCCATTCAATCATCAATCCGTACCCATAAAATAAGCTCCTGATCTGAAATTTATCGCTCAGTTCTTTTTTGTTCATTAGCAAAGTTCTTTTTCTCTCCTAACCATCACCCTGATCTACCTGCACTACCCCATGCCACTTAATACCCCGTATCCACACTTCCCCGGTTTCACACCTTAATTCCCCGCACTCTATCATGTCCGTTCACACCTGTACAACTCGTTCGTCGCGACCCCCACAAATGATTTACAATCCCTTCTTACCCTTCTTCTCACTTCTCTCTCTTTCCCTCTTGGCATAAATTTCAGCTGTAAATGGATCCTCAAACCTCAGTGCCAAAAGATAAACAACCAACACCTCGACTGTGAGCAAGATGCCCGCTGGCTTTCCCCACAAAAGTGCTGTACCCAAGAAGCTCATTGTGCTCCCATAGTACATTGGTGCACTACTAACATTGAACGGAAAGCCCGTCACCATCTTATCCATCAAGATTCCAAAATAATCACCGAGATATGTACCCGTGACACCAAGAGCCCACATTGAACTCAAGACGAGCGTGTTACCGGCAAGAAGAAGTCCATAAGATGCATATGTGACAAGAGGAGAGAGAAGTAATGGATGAGTAGGTTGAGAGCGAAGGGCGCGTTCATAGAGGAAATCGCGGAAGATACCGAGGGAAAAGATGGTGACGGCGAGGAAGTAACATCCATATCTTGAGTTTCCGTTGAAGAGTTTCGTGAGGATTTTGTTATGATATTCTGAAAATTGGACAATTATATCAATAGGTGCTTCTGGGCTATAAGTGGGATTGTTTCAAATGTACCTTGACGAGCGACGGTGCTGAGAGATTGGGTTAGTTTGTCATTTCTTATGAGAGAGGAGAGGAATGCGTAGCTTACTTCCAGAAGATTGGATTGAAAGCAATAGATGCTGCCGCAACTAAAAGGTCTGGTTAGTATTTTATGAAGCTATTGCTGAGATGGTTCCGTATTGACATACTTGCGAGGCTTTTCTGGTCAAAGTCGACCAGACCTTTGTTATTACCTAGGAAACTCGTCATGGTTGTAGAGTGATTCGGAAAAGATGTGAGATGTGATGATTGAGGTTATTCCATAGAAGATGGAATTGTAGGAAGAAAAGAAATGGACAGATTGTCTTCTATGAGATTCTTCAAAAGCGGTTGTCAAAAAAGTTATGGGAAATCTTTCACGTGAAAGGCTCAACAAAATCATTATACATGTACATACCCTTCGTACCCTTACCTGTTCTCATGACGTCTTTTCTTGTAAGCGAGTTCTAAAAGAGTGACCTGAGAAAAGGAAGCTTAATAAGCACGTGTATCACCAATACCTGGGTACGGAATTTCCACCCTCCCACCAAAATCTAGACCTTCCTACCTTCCACCTTCCTACTTTGTAATATTAATAACCGATGAAATGTTGAACAATATAATTTTCATTTCATACCAACCAATATACCTAAATTTCCCTATAAATTTCGATTTGTTCATATTGTACCACTCACTCCATTTGTTGCATTCAATACAGAATGCATAATATAATGCAATCTTTCCTAATTGCGCCATCATGAATTTCCCCCCCCCAAGGTCATGGTATCTTCATACAGTAAGTTTATCCCCTGGATTCCTGTTCAATTTCCATACCCCATTACGCCTGCCTTCCTTCCCTTGACCCAAAATAATGTTCCCCATGATATGATATGATTCGGTATGTCAGATCACTGTCGTCTCGTTCTAGTTTTCTTGGCTGTTGTTGCAGCATCTTCCTCTTCTTCGTCTTGTCCTTTCTTCAAGTCTTCATCTAATCCCCATTCGTCTTTATCATACCAATCCTCACCATCTGACATATCACGATTGTCACCGACATGTCCTTCGGCTTTTGTCCATTTCAAAACCAAATGGCGCATACGATCGGCTCTCAATAATCCGTCGTACACTTTCTGGGCTCCTCGGATAATCTCTTCTTGTTTCTGAATATAGTGTACCAATAGTTTCCTTAGTTCGTCAGCCTCTCCATGAGGTAAGTAAAGGTCTCGATCAGGATACGAGTTCTCAGGTGCCAAAAAATAAGGATGAACGAAAGGCTCGCCATTTAAATCGGGTGTGATAGACCTCGAACGAGTCGCATTGTCGAACACCGCCTGTGCTTGGGCGCGAGTCCTCATACGGCGAGGAACAGCATTCATGACCGTAATATCTTCATTATCTTCAGCCATGGGCTCGATGTCCATCGCATCCCCAGACCCTTGCGAACCCTCTTGGTCCATCTCAACATCGTCTGGCGGTGGTGTCAAACCATGTGCCAATTCTGAGTCGTTGCCAGTGCCGTTTGCGGCAGATGTGTCGGCAATTTCTCCATTTGCCGAGTTAGATGCCATATCTTTGTCAACATCTAATGCCTTTCCTTTCCCTTTCAAATCCTGAAGAGCAGCGACTCCAGAGGCAGCATCGCTCTCGATACCCATAATCATCAATCCTGAAGCAGCTACGCTATCGTCGTCAGAAGCCAGAGCTACTCTCGACATCATATCCGCGTGCTGTTTTTCAATTCTCTTTACCTGAGCCCGATGACGTTCCGTTTCTGTCTCAAAAAAAGAAGCGTCATGATCAGTTTCAACGGTTTCACACGGCATCCAAGTATCATGGCCACTGAGTCGAGTTAGGAGATGTTTAATCTTCCACAAAGATGCCATTTCTTTCTGAAGCATCTCTCCCGCATTTTTCGTCAATTCTGTTAAGACTTTCGATGTGAAGGGCTGCGATAATTTTGGATGGTCAGGTAAATCGGCGGCAGAGGTCAAAGGTGCAAGGAGTTCTACTCGAAATAATTAGCGGGAGACTTCCAAAGTAACAATATTTTGGAATCACGAACCTTCTAGTTTTATGTTTGCATATGGATCGAATTCTGCTGCTGCTGCCTTCGCGATTGAAATCTTCTCTTCATCTTCTTCGTCGCTCTCGATATTCTCGCCGTCTTCGTCAATAAGCGGGGGTTTCCTACTAATAATATCTCTCGTGTAGCCGGCATGTTCAATTGTCTAATGGTAGACAAATATTAGACAAAAACTCCGAATACTCTCCCCAAAGTGCAAACATTACCTCTCTGTATATATGTCGACCATTTGGCGGGGCCAATTGACCTTGCTGCACGTATCTTGCCCTCTTTCGTAATTTGTTTCCTCGATTTGTAAGTCTTTCGATCGAAGCATCGGAATCTGATTCTGCCAAATTATATCAGATATATCGATCAACTTATTCCTCTAGTGTAGACCAGTATATACCATATGCTTTTCTCTTGACTGCTCTTTTCATAGCAATGATTGTATCCGCGATCATAGCAGCTTGCGAAGCCATTGTGACAACTTTCGAGATATGTAAATGAGAACAATATCTTTATGGCAGCTATATTCTTAGAGTCCTACAAGCATGCCGTGATTGTTCGCATTCGATCAAAGCATCCAAGAGCTGAATCTGGGGTGCCTTGAGTACGGGGTTGTTATGGAAGGAAGGTATTTGATCGCAATGAGTTTGTGGGAAACTCGAATGTATGCGCCGGTTTACTTATCCTTGACTATATGAAATAGAATGAATCCCAAGTTTCTTATATCGAGAAGTAGGTAGGAGGGCAAGAAATGGGCAGAGAGGAATTTACAATGTACAATAGAAATAAAGTCGAGAATGATCAAAGTTATCTAAAGAAGCTTTGTACTTACTGGGAGGGTACAGCGCGAGGCTACATCAATCGGCATGTCGGTGCTTATATTTAAGGATGATCCGTGCATCGCGAAATAATCAGCCTTTCGTAGGTACCTATGGTCTGAAGTTGTGAAGTTGTGTATTTCAATAGGACGCAAGCATTGAAATTGATACATCATTATATTACATTTGAGTAATAATCTTTAACCTATATCCTCTTCCGCCAATAGTTTGACATTTCAAAGGGCTGCGTTCAGATCCAGGTTAATCGCGAAGTTCAGCCTTGCCTATCTTCACATTCGAACGATTCATTCCACAATCGACCAATTTATGTTTACGAAATAACATTGCCTGGCAACGAATCCTGGACTGCTTCCATCTGTAGTCTTATGGAGCTATTGAGACCACAAGACCATCAAGATGGATGGTTATGCGACTCAATATATTGCGCATAATTTACCATTGCTCGTAGTCTCCGGTTTGGGAGCTGATCCATCGCCGACCAATGCCAGATTGAAGGAAGGAGGGGTGCTAATCACCTCTGATATTGCCCCGTTGGAATCAGAGGATGCGAATTTCATTCTACAGTATTTCAAAAAGAGTGACGCGGGAAATCTACCATGGAACGCAAACGAGCATAGTGAGAAGAAGAAGTTCAGGGTGAAGGTTATTGGACGGGTAGCTACAGATGGGCCACTCTTCTTGAAGTCAATCACTGAAGGGTTCATAGGATTATATATTACCAAGTCGCAAAGCTCCACCTCCAACGAATACTTCGCATTCCCCCGATTCTGGGGGCTCTGTCCCTAATTCTAGACTTATTTTGCACTCTCCATTATCTCCACTGACCCCAGGATCAACGATCTTCCCAGATGGATTGTTGGATACAAAGTGGTTAGACAAATACCAAGATCTCGTACCAAGCGCATATCTTTCATTCTACAGCTTTACATCTGATCCGAACTTGGCAACTTTACACGATAATCAGTTGAAAACGGATATCAACAATATAAAAAATATACTGAACAAATCGGGTTACAAAACTCGGCTTATAGTTGCATTATTGAGCGAGACACCCGGCGTGCCACTGCCTGATGTAGAAGAGCGTCTTTCTAATATTCGTAAAGCAACTGGTCTTGATTCGAAAACTTCCTTGTTTTTCTTACCTCCACAAAGCTCCTCTGTTGAAATTGAAGCATTTGTCGATACGATCTATTTTACTATATACCCACTTTGTGTTGAATATTATCGTGACTTGAGCAAGCACTCAAGAAGGAAGCGCAATAGAGGTGTGGTTCCACCTCCAACAGCTCCACCCACGTCAGGAACTTCACAAACATTAACTGGACAAGGATGGAATGTGAGATATGACTTTAAGCTTGGAGTCTTTGCCGAGTTCAGGCAGGAAATGGATGTAGCTGTTCGTTCATATGAAAGTGGCTACGAAGCATTGTTGGGCGAAGAGGTCCTTGAAACCATTGCTACATGGAGTCCTCGATTCAACGAAGGGCGTCTCATCGCCGATGTATTTGCAATCAGAATCCTGCGTTGTCTACTGTGGAATGGACATTCATCAACTGCAGTCCGCAGATGGCAAATACATCGGGACAGGATACGTGACTTTGTGGATCGTAGAGGCAAAGGTTCATCAACATATGGCTGGCAAGCATGGGAAGCTCGTTGGGCAACTATCATGGCTGAGATGATTGAGAAAGTTAACTTCGCGGATTTTACCCAATCTAAGTCGACCATATATTTACCACTTGACAAAACTACCTCAAGTGGGGTGCAGCCATGGGAGAACCTCCACCATCCAGGTTATTGGTATCGCGAGGCTTCGAAACATTTAATGGCTCGTCGAGCTCTTGCTTTAGCAATACCAGAGGAAGATAGATCTCCACCTGGATCATCCCCCGCTTCACAAATTGCGAGCAGAGTTTATACTTATGATACATATCTTTGCCCTCAACCTCATGAGGAGAATCCTTTACCAGGTCGGACAGGCGTTGATCATGCAAGTCTTATAATTGACGTCCTGAACAAAGCTATTACTGAATTTCAGGCGAGAGGACAACACCGCCTAGTGCAGGAGCTCCTATTTCAATGCGGAAAAGAACATATGAAAAGGGAAGCATGGGATGACGCGTTACGAATTCTTCGTGCCCTGTGGCAGAAAATGACGTACAGGAATGAGGGGTGGTGGATTGTAGTTGAGGAGATTGCATGGACTTTGAGAAAGGCTGCTGCTAAGGTCGGCGATGGAGGCACAGTTGTTGCTGTGGATTGGGAACTTCTACATACCTGTTAGTATACCCTGACAGATAAAATCTATCATTTGTTAACATTCAACATAGGCTTTGCTCGTCAATCGAATTGGCATTACAATATCGAAAAGTCTTTAGACGGCCTAAACACAGTCAAGGTGAAGCCCGCCATTGTACTTCATGCCGAGGAAGTTCAATCCTTCTTGACTGCATCATATGCTTTCGAGAAGTCCGAAGGAAAGGTGGGTGAGCATTCATTGTCTCAACTAGCAATCAGGTCTTCAGCTTTGGCTTCATCGACGCCTGTAACCATTAGCGAAATACGCGTAGAGTTTACAGGTAGTATGAAACCCATTCTTCTACGGCATAAAGTCAACACTGAATATTCCGAGACTCTGAAAGCTGGCGTCTTGTTTAAGAAGACTTCCTTGATTGACGAATCAACTGTGGAAAAAGGTCATGATCCCGAAGATCCACCTACTCGACACACGTTGACAAGCTATGAGGATCTTACTTTCAGTCCTGGTCAGGTTAAAGCCTTCGAATTTGTAAATCTACTGCGAGAAGCAGGTGATGCAAAGGCTTTGAAGGTCATCTTTTCGATTGCCTCTGAGCTTTTCGATTTTGATTATGTCCATTCATTTGACAGGCCATCATTTCCTGAAATGTGGTATGGTGATAGTGGAACAAAGAAGAATATTGTTCGTACCAGGCCATCATCCATTCACGTACTTCCCAAACCACCTAAGCTGGAGTTACGTATCCTCGAATTCCAGGAGCAGTATTATACAAATGAACTTGTCTCTTTACATCTCGAAGTGAAAAATGGAGAGGAAACCGATTCTGTTGTAGACCTAGAAGCCCGTCTTCTTGGAGAAAACATTCCATCCAATATTGTCCTACGACGCCTCGATAAAACGGATTCACCAAGCGATACTGAATCTGAAGAAGATGATCATGAGATATCACTAGGTACTATTGCTAGTGGCTCTTCTATCACAGTGGAAATGGTCATCTCATCGATAGATCTACCGGCAGTTTATGATCTTAGTCTCAAAGCTTCATACAACCTCGTAACAGATCTGGAGACACCTATCTCACAAACGATGTCAGCACAACTTTCAATCTTGAACCCCTTTGAGGCTAACTATGATTTCTCTCCTCGAATTCATCCAGACTCCTGGCCGAGTTTCTTTACCCATGAGGAATCATTGGAAATCAATCAAGATGGACAAGATAATGATCGTGAAGCGTTTGGATTGGCACAAAAATGGTGTCTAACGACTCGCTTTGCTTCATTCGCAACAGAAGACGTAATTGTCGAAGATGTTGATGTCGAAATCCTCGGTTTACAAGGTGCCATCAAATGCTCCACAAAGAGACTAACCACAATACCCGAAGGCGGCATAAGAATTAGTCCGAACGAACTCGAAGAAGCTCAATTCGACACTTTCACGCAAAAATACTCATTGGACGACCGAGGCACAGCCACTCTTGACTTATCTCTCGTCATAAAATGGCGGAGAAATAAAGATGGATCCACTATAAATACATGTATCGTACCTGTGCCGAGACTGCTCGTCTCAAGTAGCGAACCAAGAGTTCTAGCTGCAGTAACCTACTCTTCGACTATCCCATCTATGATACACTTCGACGTCACGATCGAAAATCCTTCACATCATTTCCTCTCATTCGCAATTACAATGGATCCTAGTGAACAATTTGCATTTTCAGGAGTCAAACAGAGCACGCTTCAATTAGTGCCGCTCTCGAGAAGAACGGTAAAATTTAGATTATTGCCGACAGTTAGAGGGGAATGGATTGGTCCTATTAGGTGTGTGATTAGAGACAGGTATTTCCAGAAGGTGTTGAAAATTGCGCCGACGGAGGGAATGAAGAGTGATAAGGAGGGATTGCTTATTTGGGTGCCGAGTGATGAGGAGTTTTGATTTGGGTATGAGGTCAGGGAATGTATATTTGAGATGAAGAATTTATTGATTTGTTCTTACAGTGGTCTTATTTTGTTGCTGTGTTGCCATATGACATGAATGGCCTTTCAAAAATGTCATGTTTGACATGTGGTACGGTTCATTGTATTGTTAGAAATTTGTCAACAACAAACCTTACTCATCGCCCTCCATTTGAACTTGAGAAAATCCCATTACTTACGATTCAAAGGAGACGCATGCCGACTCCATCGCCACCAAGCCATTCATACTTCACTAGAGTCCATTTGTACAAACTGCAAACCCACCTTACCATTCCCTCCTCACCCCCCGCCGCCCTATCTCCATCCGCTTCCTCGCTTCTCCCCACCTCTCCAATATAACCTCCAAACTCGCCTCCCACAACAAGCACCCCCAACGTTCCGATGACGCAGCGGTAGAGTCCACTCATTTCGGGAAAAAAAAAAGAAGAAAAAAGAGTTTGTCCGCCTCTCTACTCGCACTTGGCGAGGCTTCGAATCGGACAGTGACGCTGAGGTACCGCCACACCTGTGCAAGAAATCACATTTGGTGTACTGGGTCTGGTACTTAGGCGGATCATTGGAGGTTGGGAGCGTCGCGCTCTTAGGCTTTTGTTGGGTTGAAAGGGGAGGGGTTTCTTTGGTCTTCCTATTTCTTTTTGACTTTTTTTGTTGGAGAGAGGGAGAGGGGGAGAGAGAGAGGGAGGGAAGGGGGGAGTGAATATGAATGATGGGTTGGATGGAGGTAGATTGGATTTTTGTGGGGCTTGAGAAAGAGGAGAGTAAGTAGGTAGTAATGAGATTATATCTTTTGGTTCTGACTTGTCTGATTGGGAGGAAGGAGGAAAGATGAAAGTGAATATCAGGTATATAGGGATGAATATTTGTAGAGACTAGGAGATGGGACGAGACGAGATGGGATAACAGCGGGTGGGAGTTTTCTCCACTGGCCATCCATTCTCTCTCCTTTCCAAGACTGTCTTTGTGTTTCTTCATATGATTTCCTGCAAGCACATCTGTATCTGCTCAAGATGGAAATGGAAACAAAGCTCTCGAGACTCCACCGGAACCGTTCTTCACTTTTTAAACTTCACATCTCTCCGCATATAGATCGGGAGCCGTTGTGGCCCAATATTTTATCGCACAATTGAAAAAAATATCAAGGAAAGCTTTCTAAACTTAGTTTCACTTGAATAAAACCGTTCTCGCGATTCAGATCTAACTCCAAGAGCTAATGATATATACCCCTTGATCCATGCTTCTCTTCTTGCATCTCTGCCCGTACTTCCAAGAAGAGATGGCTTCAGCACAAAGCTAGCTCTCAGTAACAAACAACACAATTACCGCAAGGTTTCATCCGTCCTGGTCAAGAGTCTCACACTCGGAACGCGAGGAAAAAGTATCTTAATGTTCGCATATCTTCATTCCGATCTCGATGACCATTTGCACTTCTCCTCACTTCGCACTTCAACTTTACTTCGGATACCGAATCCCACATGTGAGTACCGTAGGCTGTGAGTCCACTATGTATCCATGAATCCAATCTAGTTCTCGTATATACATCACACCACAACAGTAACCACATCATACATTCTCTACTCTCCAAACATAACCACTCGATCATTTCATCCACCGAACCTGCCATTCATCAAGGCAATATGATATTCGTCTGCAAACTCCATACCAATGATGCAATCAGTAAAATCAACCTAACGCCTCTGCTAAACTGCCAAACACTCAAATGGAACCAGTCAGCTATGAACCCAAATCCCCAAACAAAGCATCAATAACTTCATCTAACAGCGTAAATGTAAGATGTGCACTGAATGTAGATGTTAGTCTTGTCTCTTCATTCAATATCATTTCATTCAATTTCATCATCACCCGCACCACCCAACCCAACTCTTAAAAAGCAAAGAAAATAACACTTACTTCAGCCTCGGATTGTTGAACGTAGCAAATATCCTCCGACTAGCCGCCTGCGCGTTCACCCTCCCTACCACACTCCCCGCCAAATCCGGTATCAGCGTGGCCAGCATCAAACTAGCCTCTTTTCTGCTCTTGCTCTTTTCCCCCATCGTTCTGGCTTTCCCTTCCACCTTCCTCTCCCCCCCAGGCCACATGGAATCTTTAAGTATTGAAATATACTTCACGATCATGTCATCCTGAATAAACCCCTTTACATTTTCTCTAACTTTTCTCTCTATCGTTCCACCTAAGAGTTGGTGAAGAACAACCACTACAGCACGGCCGCGCAGCCAGTTATTTCCACGATTGAGTTCGAAGACTTCGAGGAAGATGTCGCAGATAGGTTTGACGAAGGGTTCTAGCTCTTTATCTTCGAAGGCGTTCAGTTCTGCTTCTGCTTCGGCTGCTGTTAGAGGGTCCTCGCTTATTGTTGAGGGCATGGTGATGAGCTGGTTGGTTGCTGCTGATAAGAGATTCTGTCCTGCGACTGATAGTTGGTCTAGTACTGGAATATTTCCTAGAATATCTTCCATCCCATCTGTTACTGAGTTGTAGAATCTTGTCATAATATCCTTCTTATTGTCGATGGCACCTGCGTCTTCTAATTCTGGAGCCAGAGCACTTTGGGAAAGGAATGCGCGCAACTCTCGACTTCGACATACATCTGGTAACAAAAGAATTTCTCGGAGATATTTTTCTAATGCCGCACGTCGCTTTTGAAGAAAATCTCCTTGTAGCTTCATGACCATTCGCCTACGAGGAAAATCAAGATGTCCTACTGATGGATACTTGATTCTCAGTCGTTGATGAAGTTCATGAAATTCGCTATAACGTCGAGTAATGGTCCAGGTTGCAGCCGGCATCTGTTCTCCGGCCTTTCTTTGTACTTCAATAACGTAAACAGCATACTCTCGACCGTCGTCCTCTTTTCCAACCATGATCGATTTGATTTTGATCGTGGAACGTCCATAAAGACTGTTATCACTTTCCTGTATAACATATTGCTGCCTCTGAAGCTCTTTACGGCGAATCTCTCTTTCTAAACTAGCCTTGGACTTTCGCAGGATTCTGAGCTCGGCTGTATTGTTTGTCAGTTCAGCTTTTCTTGTTAATGAATCAACCACAGCGTCTTGAGCTATAAGGCGATCGATGTCAGTAGTGAGGAGAGTGATAGCCTCTGCTAGACCCAAATCACCAGGAGCTGCCTCGTGGACTTGATCTTGGTTATCTTCATCGTCGTCCTTCTCAGGGTCGTCATGTTCATCGGAAAGAAACCTTTCTTCGTCCCCAAATAGATCGTTATCTGTGAATACACCAATTCTAGATGAAGTGTTTACAAGTCCAAGTGATGCTATACTTGGCTTTTCCGTTCGTTCATGTCTGTCAGCCCCTTTGCCATTCTCAAGTCCAAATAGATCCGCTCGCTTATGATCACTTGAACTTCTGTTTGAGATGTCGTTCGACGTAGAATTAACGCTTGGAACAGGTGAGTCCGGGGTATCATTAGGGCCAAATAGTGAGCTTCGAATATCATCAATGTTGGGCTTATCCTCCATGATCGTATTCAACGCTGCTTCCATGGCTTGCACAACATTGTTATCTGGAACAATCACGCCAGGTTCTTGATCAAGACTCATTATTGAATTTGCCATTGCATCGCTATCCAGGTCGTCATCTTCAAATAGGGGAGTTTCCTCTTCTAGAGAGGCCCGAGAATTTGACATGGGGTCTGATTGATGGGCGGTTAAATCAGTGAAAGACATGGCAGCCCGACGTAAATCTGACCTCTTTGGAATCAGTTTTGATGAACCTCTTGAAAAAGAAGGGGACCGTGTGTTGACTGTCATGGTAGTATTTGATCTGGGAGCTATCGACGGTTTACGCGTTGTATTCTCCAAATTAAGTGACGGTGCTGGAGAAGGTTGGCGAACTTTTGAAGCTTCTTGAGATGTGAGACATTTGTAGAAGAGATCTGATCTTTTAAAATGCGGGAAGAATTTATCTTGCATTACTTCCAGTGCAGAGGTTTGAGCGCGTAATATAGCTCTCCTAGCCATAAAGTATTGTTTTGAAGTTGCCTTGTTACCCGCCTTGAGAAACTCCTGGACAATACGTTTCGAAGTATCCGGGACTTTGAGTTCTGGCTTAGAAAGATACGCATCGTTTATCTGAGCAAGATCCGTTCTATCGGCATCAGTCCAAGGGGCAATAGTGGTCGGAACTTCTTCGTCTTCTGCACCATCATCCTCTAGAGGATTTCGAAACCCATCAACTACAATCCAAAACTGTACAAGAGACATACAATTCTGCCTATCCATATATTCCATGAAGTATGAAAGACCAGAAGGATCATGTAAGAGATCCACAAGTGACGCATGTTCGAGCTTTGATGCTTGAACGCCATTACGACCTGGTTGCGAGACCAGAGCTACACGATCACCTGTGGCAGCTAATTGGCTAACCCTTTCATCCAGTATTCTCTTTCCAATATCAAGTCGCCGCAAGTATACCGGATCTTGTCCATCCTTCAAAGCATCTCGCTTGAACTGACTGGATACCTCACTTCGAAACCTTCTAGCATCTGACAAATTGTTCGTCTTCCTAATCGCGCGAATGAATTTTTCGAACTTTCTTTCATGGTCTCCCGGTGACAATCTCGGAAACTGCGCAGTACGATTCGATTTAGGAGCGGGTGATGCATGCTCATCTAGTGCAGCTCGAAGTTTTCGCACAGTTGATCTATCTTGAAGCATGGAACGTCCCTATATAGTGTTAGCGCAAATCTCAAAATTGATGATGATTCGAGATATATACATATGCCTCCATTATCTGATTCCACATATCCGGATCAGAAAGCATTTGCATTATGGGGAAAAGAACGGCACAAGCCACCAATTCCCTGATCAAAACTCCCACCGCACGACTCCCGATAGCATGCTCTGGTAGAATCTCCGGCAGCAGTTTTTGTGTCAAATCCCGCAGATATTCTTGTTGTACCAGCTTTGTATCTGAGAAGGCCAGAGAAGCCGCAGAATGTAGTTTCCCATCATTGTATTTCGCCGCTATCGCAAGGTCCAACTCATCAGATTCCGTAACACTTCGGTTCAAATTCTTGCCTCTGATAGCAACCTCCGCATTGTAGAACTCCTTGAAATGCCCTGTCAGAATAGGTACAAAACGGGTGGTCACAACCTCCACCAAATCTATATCCAGTAATCGATCTCGCAGATTGACAAGAGCCAATCTTATCGTCTTGTCGACCTCATTGGTAAACGTCGGGTTCCTACTGATACCCCCATACCACGAAGCCACAAAATCGCGAAGTATAAGGTCTAAGAAATCGTCGAGGGCGCATGACACTATAAAGGAGTCTGGAACCAATGGCTTTCGTACATGCATTTGTCGTGTGCGTAACGCGGCTATTTCCTTCTTCCATTTCGTCGCGGCCAGAAATGCAGGTCCTTTTGGGCGGCGTACAATGTGTTCTTCTCCGTATTGGGAACCTCTAGATGTAAGAAGTAGCAAAGCTATGAGCCCCACGATGGGTACAATCAGTCCTGCGACAAATGCATATCCAATCCAGCGCAAGGTCGGAATCCAATTGGTAGCAAATCCCCAGGCAAAAAATACGGCAATACCAGCTAAGATCACATCCCGACGACTCAGGGCCATAATCTGTGAAGGGTAATTGTATTTATGAACAGCATTTTTGGTGGGAACTTTTTTGGGAGCTCTATTGAGGTCTCACAATGGTTGTAGCTTTCGGCTTTCAGGGTCCTCGCGTAATCTTTCCATTCCATTTCACATGCAATATGACCAGACACAGTTCGACGAGCATATTAATCCTTTCACAATGGGAGAATAGACAATTAATGAATTGAAATGTAGGCATAATTTTAGAATTATATGTTCATTTGGTTTCTCTTTTGGACCTTCAACCATTACAACCCTTGTCAGAGCTGGAATCAACATGAGTTCCCATTGGCTGACTTCTGTAGTCATTTTTGGTGTAGATGACATTCCCTCAAGATATTTTGATATCTGCTTTCATCCCTCTTTTACCAAGGAGGATCTTCCAATCGCTTGAATAATGCAACAAATTTTGGTCCATTATTCCTCGTAACCTTCTTTCCTTCTTCAGTCTCCGTTCTCATTATATTGACACATTCATCTGCTTCTTGCTCCTCTTCTGCAACGCGCTCAAAAGTAGGATGTGCGTTGAAATGTGTAACCATCCAATTATGAAGGTCTTCAACATCCGTGATAGTATATATGATTCCTCCCGGTCGAACTACGTAAGCATACTCAGCGGCTAATGTGGTCGATACAATTCTGGCTTTGTGCTTTCGTGCTTTGAAATGAGGATCTGGAAAGCAAAGAAAAATCTTTGACAGTTGATGTTTTTTGAAGAAATTTGGCATAAATTTCATGGTATTGGCTCGTATGCATGAAGCGTTTTGAAATAGACCAGATTCCTTTTCTTGAACTCTTAGAGCTTTGATTCGTTCTTGCACATATTCTGTGACTTGTGCTCGAATTTCCATGCCTGGTTATAAAGGATTAGAGCTGTGTTAAGTGATTGTAAGGAGTGATTCATACCAAGAATTAAAGAATTTGGTAGTTTGGGAGCTAAAGCTACTGTCAAACCACCAAATCCACAACCAATGTCTGCAACTTCAACATCTTGCTTCATCTTCTTGAGGCTACTAGAGTCTGAAATTGATGAAGGTTCTTCTGTGCTTTCAGAAGCCGCTGCGGACTCTGCATAGGCGGGGTAATGCGAAGCCCAATCCATCTGAGCTGGGGAAGCAGGACTAATACCAGTCAATGAAGCCTCTTACAATGGCAATGGCAAGCGTACGTACTATACCAGACGATGATCCGAGAAAGGATTTGCATGCGCTCTCTGTCTGTAGAACTTCTTCTTTGGCAATTCCTTACTCTCCTCGCCATTTTCTCTCGCAGTTCTATAATCCTCCCGTTTCTGCTTTTTATTCGGTGGGCCTGCCATATCGATTGTAGAACTTCTAAAATTTCTTGACAGTCAACGATGTATTCCTTGATATAATGGAATAGCGAGTGTCCGAAACGATGGGAGGCTGTGGTTGTAGTGCAAACGAGGCTTTAGCATGACGGAAAAGCTCAAGGCTGAACTTTTTTTTTTTCGCATGGAACCTCAGATGCACAAAATAAAATGTTAGTGGATAGTGGAGTCCATTTTAGTTAATCAGAGGCGTGAGTTTATGGATTTTAGCATTTTAGCATTATTTTTACTATATTATCATATTTACATTAAACCCTTGTGGAGCAGTCAAACACGAAGCTACAAGGTCCACGGGTACCTAGGAAGGGTAGGTGTGATTGACACCATGATACCTACCTAGTACCTACCCCTAGTAACTTTAATCGTCATCTTGGGCCACCGCAGTATTCTGATTGCGATAACAACATTATTCATCCCCAGGATATTATATCTAAACATTACATTATGAAGGACGGACGACCTCAATAAATTACAATATTACAACAAACCTCGAGAATTGCATCAAGGAATGAAATCCACATTCGTTACCAATACCATTACTTGAATGCAGCTCTTGGCTAGAGGCTGATACAATTGCATACAATCTCTTTAGGTATGTGCTTGTATCGTACCATAAGCATTGAAGTATTTAAGCCATTCCATCCTTCATTCTTCATTCTTCATTCTTTCTCACTGCTGTCTCTCCATTCCTCTCAAATTCCATATATCGATATGTGAAGGGACCGACCATTCGCTTTCTACTCTCACATCAACCTGATTCGAGGGGCTCGTACTTGGCGACTACATCTTTAACAACAATAAGCATTTCCTTACAGCTTCCAGAGAGAAACACGAACTGCATACGGATTCTCAGCATTATCGCTCATTCAATCTTTCAGCGTTTAAGGAAAGAGTTTTTGATCTTCGCTCCCTGAGAGTCTTTTCACATAACATGCCGTGGTTCTCAATTCTTCCTGAAAGTTTAGCGTTTGTCGAAGTGTGGGCTAGAAACACGTTTGTAGGTATCTGCTACCAGGGACTTCGATTACTGAACTAATATCATACATAGTTTGTACTGGGTATACTGTGTATAGGACCCTGGCTATTAACTCTCCTCTTCGATATTATTTTCTACCTTTTCCGCTTAGTACACCATGAAATGCCTTATTTTGGTGGGCGAGCAAGAGATAGACCACGACCGCGTGCACCGAGCCTGAGTGAACGACCAAATGGCCAAGGACGACCGAGAATCTTAACAATGCCCTCAGTGAATGGGACAGTCAATATAGCAGGAGTCTTGGAGGAAACGGCTGAGGGAATAAAGAAGGGAATAGAGGAAGCAGCGCAACCAAGAAAAGATAGCGGCGCGATAGTAGACGATTAAACAGCAAACAACTTTTATGGTATTATAACTGAATTTCAAGACAATCTTTCGAGGACCTTAATGAGATCACCTGTGACACCCATTGCTGTTACATCTCCTCCGGCACCAGCTCCCTGAATGATTAAAGGATTGGATCCATAGCGCTTCGTGTAGAAGCTGATGATGTTATCACTTCCCTTGAGGGCGGCAATTGGGTGAGATTTGTCGAATTTCTCCAAACCCACTTTCACTTCCTTCTTTGCGACATCGATACTTCCAACGAATCTCACAACCTTACCCTCCTTCTCGGCGGCAGCCTTTGTTTCCTCCATCTGGGAATCAAATTCTGGCAACTTTTGAAGGAATTCATCTCCACTTGAAACGCTCTCCAATTCCTTGGGGATCAAGCTTTGGACTGGAAATGAAGTTGGAGATTCAACCTCAAGACCTGCCAATCTTGCCAAAATTGTCAGCTTTCTGGCGACATCCAGACCGTTCAAATCGTCTCTTGGATCTGGCTCAGTATAACCCAACTTCTTTGCTTTAGCGACCTCGGAAGACCACTTTCCTCCTGAACCTTCGGTTGGAGCGAATGAGTTAAACAGGAAGGACATGGTGCCGCTGAAAACACCTTCGATCTTAGTTACGGAATCGCCTGTGTCGACCAATTCCTTCAGAGTAGAGATAACTGGTAATCCAGCACCGACTGAACTCTCATGATACACCTTAGCACCAGATGACGAAGCTGCGGAGAAGATATCCTGCCACAATTTATATGATCCAGAAAACGCCTTTTTGTTGGGAGTGACTATTGAGATTCCTTTGGACAAAACTTGTGGATATGCATCTGCGACATCTTGCGAACTTGTGTTGTCGACAAGGACGACCTTTGCAGGGGCAGCTGCTAAGTATTCAATGATCTTTGGCAAAGAGAGTGGTTCTTGTGTGGAGTCTGCGAGGGTATTTGAGAGGTTGGAGTATGAAAGAGGAGTGTATTTTGGGCTGTAGAGAACTTTCTTGCTTCTTGAAACGAAGATGAGGGATATTTTGGATGAGGTAAATCGTTGAGAAAGAGCCTCAAGTTGAGATAGAAAGCATTTTCCTACACCACCAGCACCTAATCAAGTATTAGCTAATTAGAGCTCATGTTAATCTATCAAAGATTGGAGATTAATACCAATCACTGCAACGTAAATTTCCTTGGCTACCATGATGACTTGATTTGTTGATGATTAAGATTGAGGATTGAAGATTGATCAATTGCAGATTATTTGGTTTGAAATAAGGTTAAATGTCTTGCTCGTACTGAAGAATCAAAATGTTATGAATAATGAGCAATTACGGAAGGATTGCAGGTGGTGGGGTTGTTTCTATGCACAATAATCCGATCTCGCACATATTGATACCCCTCTCTCTGATATCCACTTTACTAATTTCCATTGGTCAATTACAGATGGACGAGGCCGCGATTTCGAGCTCCCCAGATTCCCTCAGCTCAGCCTTACGAGAATATACATCAAATCGATGATCGTATTACTTCCATCTCTCCTTCAACTACAACAACAATAATTCCTCCAAAATGTCCAACGACCCTAATAATCTTTACAATTTCAAAAGACCTAAACTCCACTCCGCCTCTACTAAAGAATTATCCTCTTCTACAAACCTAGCATTCTCCTCGACTCTCTCATCACTTCTCGCTTCTCAGACGCAGGAGTCTTCATCATCATCCACCACCCGCGGTCGTCCTCGTCCCTCCAAAACTAGAGAAGACATCTTCAAAACACACAACAAAGGAACCAAGAAACGCGCCGCAAAAGATTTAGATGATGATGAGGATGGAAATATATATACCCAGATTCGAAAGACTGGCCAGGGAGAAAAAATAGATGATAATACACTCCACAGGAGTAAAAAACGACTTGCCGAAAAAGCAAAGATTTATTCGCGCTTAAAGCGCGGTGATCACGAAAGACTCGGAAACGGAGATGGAGATGAAAACGAAGAAACAGAAGGGCTCGTAGATTTCGATCGTAAATGGGTTGAAGGAGGTGAAAAGGATGAAGACTCCGATAGCAATGATTCTTTTGGCGGCGGCGCTTCAAACGCAGAAGATAACCAACTCGTCGAATATGAAGACGAATTTGGTCGTCTCCGCCAGGTAACCAAAAAAGAAGCGCAGCGTCTCGAGCGTCAGCGTAGGAATGCCCTCCTTGGCGCAGAAGAACTAGAGCGCATGTCCGCTCGTCCTGCCCAGCCTTCTCAACTTATCTACGGCGATACTATCCAATCATCTGCTTTTACATCGACGCTGGATTCCGAAACCGCAGAAAAAATGGAGGAGTTGGCGAAGAAGAGAGATAGGAGTGCGACGCCGCCGGAGATGAAACATTACGAGGCGGATAAGGAGGTGAGGAGTAAAGGACAGGGGTTTTATAGCTTTTCGAAGGATGAGGAGATGAGGAAAGAGGAGATGGAGAATTTGGAGAGGATGAGGAGGGAGACGGAGATGGGGAGGAAAGAGAGGGAAGGGCTGAAGGAGAAGAGGAAGAGAGAGATTGAGGAGAGGAGGAGGGTGTTGGGAGAGAAGAGAGCGAAAAAACAGGCGGATGCTTTCTTGGAGGGGCTCGGCGATGTGCCTACGCCGACGCTGATGGATGGAAAGGAATGAAAGGAGTGAAAGGAGTGAGAAGTGGTGTTGATGTTCAATCTCATCACATATACTTGAGCGATGATGCGTATCTCATCATTTGATGGAAATAATTGGACTTCAGCATCGAGCGCTCTGAGAGAAGCACGGCGTCAGGAACATGAAGATTGTAGACATAAAAAGATAGGAACCATGATACCCCAAATACATTGACATTTAATTCGCTACAGCCCCTTAAAGATGCCATACTATCCCTCTAGACAAACCTTTTAGAAGAAGCAATGCATCAAGAACACTCGTTTTACACAAAATTCGTGATATACGTATCTCATAAGCTAAAATACAACCCGATATATCAATATTACAGCTAGCTCCCAAAATACCTCCGGCCTGCAAAGGACATCGCTTCTTTTCTTTTGTAATCCGTCCATCCAACCAAAAAGTCCAAAAGGTATATGAATACATCGCCATCCCTAATCGCCAGCAAGAACATCAATTGAAGCTTCACCATCTACTTTCTCAAATTAACGCTTCAGCAAATATTTTCTGTCCCACTTGATTTGTTGAGACATAGCAACATCTAACAACCATTCCACTTTGACAATCCTCGGCTCCATATTTCCAGCCTTAGCCATCTCTTCAAACTTCGAATAGAGAGCTTGTTCAGATCTCTTGTCGCTGCTGATTAAGTAAACTGGTTCTGGGGGTCCATCATCTTCTTCCGGCTTGGTAGGTTTGATAGTTGGACGTCCTTTGAAAGTACCAAAAGTGGCGCCGTTGACTTCTGCGATTTCTCGATAAGTTTCAACGCCATTGTCGATGTCGACAGTACAGTATATTGGAATTGTGTTTAGAAGTCGACCTTTGTTGACTGTCGCACGTTTCAAAGCATCCTTCAACTTGACATTGTGCTTCTTTTCGTTTTCTGCATCTACCAATGGAAAGTCTTCGACGTCCAGCATCTTCCCGGCTTTGATACATGCCTCAATGTACTTCTCTGATACGACGGTAGGTCCATGTGCGAGACCGACAAGAAATTTCCTAGTTCGAACCATTTTGGGTGCAGCCATGATATTGACCTTTCCATAACCAGTCCACAGAGAGATGCCAAGACTACGTAGTTTTTTCTGATGAAAGTTAGTAAAGATCGTGACACAACAGATGAATTAACTTACAGTATCTGTATCCTCCTTAGTTGGCGCGTCCGGATTGGACCAAGCCTTGTAACCAGTAACAAGCATGCGAACTTGGACTTCTGGTTTTGATGCAGTTTTCGCCTTCTTTGATGGGCGAACATCAACCTCCTCGCTACCACTGTCACTGTCCTCATCATCTTCTTGATGTTTTACCACTGGACTCGAATTGCGTTGCAAATCTCGTTCCTTCTCGATTTTATTCGCAGCCCGATCACCCCCAAATACATGCCCTTTTCTCTTCTTCTCTAATTCGTACTTTGCAATATCAGGAGCCAATTGATGAAGGGCATTGATTGCTTTACTCTTAGCGCTCCGACTACTAGTCGATGAAGGGGTATCGTTTTCTTTGTCCAAAGATGTGCGCTTCTTGCCAGCCGGTGTAGAAAGAACATTTGTAGGGGCTACAGAGTTTGTGGAAGTTCCCTTGCCTTTGCTTTTAGATTTTGGAGGAGGTGCGATTACTTCAGCCCCCTCATCTTCAGTTTCGCCATCCATATCGTGATCTCCATCTCCATCTACATCCCGATCTCGAATTGTCAAATTCTTCATTTTGGAAGGCTTTGGACTATTTGGACCTGGTGTAGGATCTTTGGGAAAGTATTTCCTCTCCAAAGCCTTTTGATCAAATTGAGTTTGGCCAATAACTTCACCAAGATTTGTTCTTGGAGGGAAATGAATATAACGAGGATTCGTTAATATCTGAACCTCGCACTTGGCATAACTTTCTTCAAGCCAAAGGTGATTGATCATGTTGATATTCCATTCGGCAGCTGCGTTACACTTCTCACTAGCCTTTCGAGCGGTGATCAGATGTGTATTATCTTGCTTCATGCTTTTTGTAAATTCGCCACCAGCAGCGTTTACCAAATTTTCAAGGTAGATGCGTGCCTCACCACCATAATTGGAGAGTGTTATTTTGTAATTCTCGAAACCTGGTAACCCTCCTTTCGGAATAGGGTAGTGAAGAAGTCTCCGAGTGGGATTTGTCCATGTATTGTGAGCAATCATATAGTAAAGCCATGAAAGATTACCCACGTGAGTTGAAGGTGATCGAGAGGCAATGACATAATTTCTACCTTCCCGGTAATTACAAACAAACATATCAGCCTGACGTACTGAGTTTGTAATTGTACCTTGCCCATGTTCGACGAGATCCGAAAGTAATCTGGTGAGTCGGCTTCCAAGGTCCAAGTCTTTGGACAACATCACCTTCTTATCCTTAAAAACATCCAATTTACGTTGTATAGGAGAAGCAGTTGGAGTCTCGAGCATGTTTGAGTGCGCTGCAGTAGCACCTTCAAGTCGTGAGGAGGAAGGTATTGGCAGACTATCTTCAGGGTTTAAGAGGAATATTTCGGGATTTGGGAGTAAATATGGTCGTTCGTCTATGCGTTTTCCTAACTTCAAGCAATCATCAAACCTATATTTGATTAGTTGAGAAAATGTGACAAAGTCGAAACACTTACCACTGCGGAAGGACAATTTTGCATTTTAATCCCTTGTCTTTCGCCGCCTGGCACTTTGGATGATCCATACTAAGAGCACAAATATGAGTGACCAATTTTGTTAAGCTATTACTTTCCATCCCCCCCATAGCGCATGTAGCACCAATTATCGCAACTTTATCGCCCTGTGGAATATCTGCGCATGTAAGGTGGACATTGGAAAAGATATATCGTTCATCTGGTGTGTAAGGACGAATTGGTGCTTGTCTGCGTCGGCTGAGAGATTGTGTGACCCATTCAGGTGTAATGACCGGTACAAGCAAGAGACCTGCTTTATCATAACATGCGAAGTCGGTTGTAGTAGAGATAATATGGGTAACTTCCTCCAAGTTCATGCTATCGTCTGTTTTCTTAATCTCTGCCGAAGCACCATTGTCCTCAAGAATTTCTCTCAACTACCAATTCATGTCAGTACACACAAAAAAACATCAAGGATAGTTTTGGCGAGGTATACCTGTCTTGCTTGAGGTATTGGAAGCTCTTCGCTCACAATGATAGTGATAGCACAGCTATCGAAGAGGGGGAGCGGAGCGGCGCCACTTTCTACTTCAGTCATATTGAGATACAAATCTACATGCACAATAGAAAAATTGTATGAAATGTAGCTAAAGCCTTGGTAATAAATACTGCTACAATGTTTGCTTGTTGTAATGTCGAAATGTTGAAATTGTGTTTGATCTACAAAATCGACAAACGCGGATTGATGCGCGTTTCTAGAATCACGTACTTTAAGAAAACACGCTAAAACAACAGGGGTCAACTGATTGGTTTTGACAGGTAATCACGTGAGAGATTACACCCCCTCACTGCGATCAACCTTTAGAAGTCTAGGAGTCGAGGGGGTTAAGCGTTTCATGCCTTTGGTTTCCGCAATATCGATTAAACTTCATTAACAGGGGAACTTTGTGTTTAAGATGTATCGGGATGTTTCAGCCCAATGATAAATGGTCAATTATACTAAAACTAAAAACTAAAAACTAAAAACTACTACTGTAGATAATTCCAGCTTCCCCCTTTTACCGCTAACCTAGTGTTACCGGGCTGGGGCCGAGGCTTGTAATGCATGCCGGCTTGGTACTCAAATCTATGCATGCTTTGTTGTTCATGAACAGAAACTAATGTTCAATTCTTTACATACAATTCTTCAAATCAAGCTCAAAGAGTATTGATACTTCATTCACTTTGCTGTGCCTTCAATCTATCTATTTATATCTACCCCTTTCACCTAACAAAATAAGGGTTATCCCCCACATTTACCCCATCATGCACTCCACAATCTTCGAGGTAAAGGAACACACTCTCGAATGTCAACACATTAGAGAATACCCTCGCGCCACCTCAAATACCCAAGAAGATGTATTACGTCTAGCAATCAAGCAATATATACCCCGAGATAATCCCAATCCACAACCAGGAGATGTGACTATAATTGGTGCTCATGCAAATGGTTATCCAAAGGTAGACTTTCCCATGCGGTTGAATAATCCCACAAGCTAAAGATGTACAGGAATTATACGAGCCATTATGGGAAGATGTTCATGCACGCGCAAAAGCTAATGGCTTTAAAATACGAAGTATTTGGATAGCAGATTTGGCTCACGAAGGCGCTAGTAGCGTTCTAAATGAACAATTATTGGGAAATGATCGTACGTGCTAGTTTTCTTGGTTGATAGATTGTTTTTTATTACATTGCCGCGATGTCAGCTATGATCCAGAAATGTAGCCCTTCGGATTCTACAAGTGTGGACGGAGGGGCCTGCAAGTTGCACGCATAAGAGTCGATTTTGTGACGTAGACTGGAATCCCTACTAGGGCCTTTACATCCAAGTCGAAACGCAATTCATATATGTCCCTAACATCACATCACGGTTCTCTTCCAGTCACTTAACTCAACTTGATTCTACGAATCCTTATCATATCCAGTACTATCTAACACCTTCCAGCATCATGGATAGATCACGCCCGGGATCTTCTCCACATGGTCAATACCTACCGTTCCCAAATGCCTCTTCCGATAATTGGAATCGGTCATTCCTTCGGCGCCAATATGCTCACCAACCTCTCCCTCATGCACCCCCGTCTTTTAACCACCCTTATAATGCTCGATCCCGTAATCCAACAATATGCATCTACCCCCTCCGGTACCACCTCACCCAATCAACTCTCCACCTTCCGCCGTGACCTCTGGCCCTCCCGTGCCGCTGCCGAAGCCTCCTTCCAAAAATCAAAAGCATACTCAAAATGGGATTCCCGCGTCCTAGACCGCTGGTGTCAATATGCCATCCGCTCAACCCCGACTACCATCTACCCCAATGAGCCA